ACATTCTGGGTCCCATGAACTCCTTTAGTTTTTAGATTAGAGGAGCAACCTACTATTTACCTAAGTGGTTCTGAACCTCTTCACCCCTGAGCCTGAACTTCAGCTGTATTCCTTTACCTACAATAGCCTCAAGGTTTTCCCTTCTTATAGCTGAATAGTTCTCCATTGCACAGAAGTGCCATGTTTTTCCAACCAACTGCAGCTGCTGAACGAGCTACCCCTATTTCTCTCTGGTTCCCTGTCACATAGAGAATTATTTTCTCATCTTTGACTTTCAGTCCATAAACCCTCTTTCAGGTTGATTATATTCCCTATACAGAGCATCTCGATGGACCCTATCCTGATCTACTCTGCCTGTGCTTCTTTTTGTTAGTGTATCAAGGTCATCTGTGTTAGAGATTATAGCCAACCTTCTCTGTCTCATCTCTGCTATGCTATTTTTCTGCTATTGGTTGTCTACTTTTGCCTTTCATTCCACTGTCTGCCCCATTCATTGAGGCCTCTCTGTCACTGTTACTAAAACCTTGGTGATTTTTTTCTCTCTCTAGAATGTCCTTCAGTATTTTTTGTAGGGTTGGATTGGGGATCATGAACTACCCCAGTTCCTCTTTGTCATGGAAGCATCTTGTTTCTCCATTGATTTTGAGAGAAAGTTTTGCAGGGAATATCCATCTGGGTTGGAGGACATTTTCCGTTAGGGCTTGGAATACTTCACTCCAAGCTCTTCTTGATTTGATGTTTTGTGTCAAGAAGTCTGTTGTGATTTTGATGGGCTTTCCTTTATATGTAATCTGTTTGTTTTTTTCTGACAGCTTTTAATATTCTGTTCTTGTGATGAATTTCTGGGATCTTGATTATTCTATGTCTGGGTATATATCTGTTTTGGTTGTAGCTGGCTGAAGTTTTGTATGCCTCATTTATCTGAATACCATTTCTTTTTCCTATGGTTGGGAAGTTTTCCTTAATTATTTCTGTAAATAGCCTTTGTATTTCATTTGTGTTTACCCCTGCTTCTTCACTCACATTTTTTATTCTTAAGTTACTCTTGTCTTCTAGCCTTTGTATTGTTACTTCCTGGTTCCTTGTTATTTTTAAGAGATCTTTCCTTTTGTGATCACACATTGCAAACCTGTCTTCAACTTTGATAGTCTACCTTTAGTTTCTTTCAAGCAATTTTGCCAGCTTTCAATGGAATTTTTAATGTCCTGATAATCTCTTTGAATCTGCTTCATGTATTCTAGATTTTAAAAATATTCTTCATCAAAGGTTTCCCTCCTTTTTCTGTGCTCCTCCGTTCTTCCATCTGTGTCTTCTTGAGAGGTGCTTAGCATTTCTTTTATTAATCTTATATCTTGCTTTATTTGTATTAGTATATAGGGTTTCTCTTCTATATTGTCATGATAATGTTTCTTTATGTCAGCTGATGCTGCTTTGGATACTGTAGGTTTGCCACCCTTGATCTCTTCTGTGTTTACCTCTCCTGGACCCATATTGCCTGGGCTGGTGGCTGGAGATTTTTTTGTTTGTTTGTTTCTCTTGTCATGTTTCTGGTTTCTTCGAGACAGGTGTATAGTGTGGGTCCCAGGCCTTTTGTGTATTTGTTATGGTTACTCTGAAGCATGCTAGCTAGGTATTGCTGCCCTGTCCAGTTTGCTGCTGATCACTGAAGTACAAGATGGGACAGAACTGGTTTGGGACAGCTTCATGGGCAACCTCGTCCCTGGCTATTGGGTTCTGCCCAGGGGCCTGGCCAGGGGCAGGATCTAGCCAAGCAGTTCCCACCAAGCTGCTCTGCACCAAAAGTGGTTACTTGAAGCTGCTATGGTTCCAGGTTCAGGCCCATCTTGCCCAGTTCCAGTATGTTACCAGGCTGGTCACCCCCTCCCACGGGAGGACCAAATTCAAATCACTCACTGCGGGCCAGTGTAGATCTCCACACCAGCTCGTCTCAATTGAGATGCGTCCTTCTTGCCAAGGTCCTTGGTCTCGCCAATCTCCAGCATCAGTGCAACTGTGAGTCATCAGATTCCAGCAGCAGGGTCTTGTATACCATGGGACCAGCTCTGGTGATAGCACATCTGGCTCCAGCCATCCATCCATGTTTTTCTTTTCCTTTTTTTTTTTTTCTTTTTCTTTTTCCTTAGTTTCTTTCTGGGTTGTGAGAATCCCTCTCCCTTCATCTGGTCTTCTCCATAGTTTTAAATTCCAGCATCTGAGCTGTTTCTCTCAGAGAAGCTCTCCACTCTGCTACTTATTGATCTGCCATCTTCATGCTCCTCTCCAAATAAGATATTTTCATGACAAAGAACACTGGAAGAAATTCATGAACACCAAACTTGCACCCCAAAATGTTCCAAAGGGAATTCTAGAAAGATAGTGGGGACTATAACTCCATGAACCCCAACAGAGTGAATGTACCAGGCAAAGCAAACAATTAAGTAGAGAGAGAAAAAAAGGGAGCCAACAACAGCAAAATAATATGACAAGGATAAATCAGTATATATCGGTGATAACCATCAATGCAAATGATCTCAATTCACCAATTAAAAGAAACAGATTGGCAGAATGAATCAAGATGCTGCATATAATATCTACATACAAGAAACACATTTAATTAAAAAAGAAATCCATGCACTGAAAGTTAAAAGATGGAAAACAATATTCCATGTGACAGAAACTTGGAAAAAAGCAGGAGTAGCTATTCTATTTGCGGACGAAGTAGATTTCAAGCCAAGATTGATTAAGAGAGACAAAAAAGGTCACTACATCCTTGTAAAGGGAATAATCTAAGAGGAAAAGATAACAATAAAAATATATATACACCAAATATCAGCACACCCAACTATATAAAATAAATATTAACAGACATGAAAAATCAATAAGTACTAATACACTTGTATTGCAGGATCTCAATACCCCACTGTCACAAATAGACAGATCAACTACACGAAAAAAATCAACAATGAAATATTAGAAGTGAACTAAACTTTTGAACAAATGGACTTAGTAGATTTCTATAAAGTATTTCACCCCAAAATATCAGACTATAGATTCTTCTCAGCAACATATAGGATGTTCCCCAAAATAGATCACATACTAGCTTACAGAGTATGCTTAAGTAAATGCAAAGGAAATGAAAATTTCCCATGCATGTTATTAAACCACAGTGCAAAGAAATTGGAAATCCATGGCAAAATAAACCACAAGAAGTTCATGAACACATGGAAATTATATAACACCCTCCTGAACAACCAATGGGTCATGGATATTAAAGAAGAAATTAAGCAGTTTCTACAATTGAACAATAATGCCAATATAACATACCAGAACTTATAGAACATAATAAAAGCAGTCCAATGAGGGAAATTTTTAGCAGTGAATACCTATATCAGGAAAACAGGGTAAGCTCATATAGACAACTGACTGTTGAACCTCAAGCTTCTAGAAACAGAAGAGCAGGCCAACCCAAAGTTCACATGAGGGAGGAAATTATAAAGATCAGAGCAAAATTTAATGCAATGGAGGCTAAGAAAGTGATACCAAAAAATCAAAGAATTAAACAGTTGGTCTTTGAAAAATTAAAATCAACAGACTTAGCCAATGTTATCAAAAAAAAGAAATACTCAAATCTATGTAATTAGGAATGAAAAGGGTGAAATCACAATGGATACTGCAGAAATCCATAAGATCTTCTATACCTACTCCAAGAACTTGTACTCTAATAAGGTGGAAAATGGACAGATTCCTAGGTATATATGAATTACCAAAACTGAATCAAGAAGACATAAAAAACCTAATAAACCAGTATCAGTCAATGAAATTGAGTATGTAATTAAAAACCTACCAACAAAACCCCCCAGACTCTGGGATGCAAATTAAAACAATACTGAGACTTTATCTCACTCAGAAAGAATAGTTATTCTAAAGAAATCAACAAACAATGCTGGTGAGGCTGTGGGGAAAAGGAACCCTTTTCTACTGTTGGTGGAAGTGTGGGCTGGTGTACCCACAATGGAGATCAACTTGGACATTACTCAGAAAAATAGGACTAGAGGTTCCATTCAGCCCAGCTATTCCACTTCTTGATATTTTCCCCCCAAAATTAAAAACATCATACTACAGCAATATATGCACACCCATGTTTATAACATCATAGTTTGTAATAGCCAAATCTTGGAAACAGCCCAAACGCCCATCAACTGGTGAACGGATAAAGAAGATGTGGTGTTTTTGTATAATGAGTATTACTCTGCCATAAAAAAAAGTTTATGACATATCTAGGTAAATGGTTTCACCTTGAAACCGTATTCTTCTTTCTTTTCTTTCTTTCATTTTTTTTTTTAAGCTGGTGGTCTCACTATATGGTTCAGGCTGGCCTTGAACTCACGGTGTAGCCCAGACTATCCTCAAACTCATGGGTTGTCTTCCTGCCTCAGCCTCCCAAGTGCTGGGATTACAGGCATGTATCACCTTGCCCGGATTAGACCATACTCTTATGTGAGATAAATCAGACACACATGTGTAAATACCACATAGTTTCTCTGGTGTAAGAAACCGAAAGTGTCAATAAAGAAACAAAATGCATAATAGGTATGGTGAAATAGTAAGAAAATGTTCAAATTGGGAAGAGAGCAAGGAATTTGGTAGGGAGGAAGAGAAGAAAAGAAAGAACAAAAAAAAGTAAAAAAATAAGGAAAGGAGGAAAAATGGAAACAAAGATAAAGGGTGGGAAGGTGGGGCAGAAGGGAAGGTAGGGGAATGGGGAAAAAAGAACAAGTTATGTCATGTACAGGTACAAATTCTGTATGATGGATATGTTTATTATGTATATCTAAAATGTACCAATAAAATCTGATAAGAAAAAAAAATTACCAAAAGATTGCAGAACTGAACGGTAAATTTATACTCCTCCTCTGTTGCTGAGTTTGCTCTCCTGATCACAATGCTTCCTGATGGTTCACTAAATCTACTTTGTTCCCAAGACCATAGGGAGAAGGCTAGAGCTAGCTGCTTGTAAGATTGCAAATGAAACTGAAATTAAAGTTCACTTCCTCATAGTGGATACTCATGTGACAAAGTCTAAATTCCCTTTTAAAGTTAATTCTACTGAAGCCTCTTTACTTTGAAATCTTTGGAGGCTCTGCACCAATTCAAGGACTCATTATTGGAGCACCTGCTGGCTTTATCACGTACGTACTTTCTGTTGCTTGTCTTGCGTTTGGTCTTTAAATACTCTGCTTCTGTTTTTAGCTTGCTCTTCCTGCCAGATTTTTAAAACTTTGGTTCCAGGAAGTAAACAACAATAAAAAAAATCACATCACTTTAAAGAATTTATTTTTGAAAGCTTAGTGTCTGCTTGAACGTCTAAACTTGTGGCTGAAACCTAGCTTTCTTTGAAATACAATTTGAAGATTTATATGGTTAAAATTCCAGTTGTTTTGAATTAAAAAGAAATGAAGAAGAAAGTAGAATGTAGTCTGGGGCAGTTAATGAATTTCGGTAGAAGTCTCTTTGAATTGAATACAGAAAATGTGTTTTGGAAAGTAGTTAATTACCTTTGAAATAGATACTTTATTGTTGAAAAAAGTTAAAAGAAATAATTCCAACATTCTGGAAGGCTGAGTCAAGAGGATTGAAAGTTTGAGCCTAGCCTGGGCAATTAGCATGATCTTGTCTTAAAATAAGAAATTATAAAAGAGCTGGGAATGTAGTTTAATGTGAAAACCCCTGGCTTCAATTCACAGTTCTCCAAAAGGAAAAAAACCAAAAAACTAACAGATGGGAGTTGGCTTTTTTTTTTTTTTTTTTTTTTGTCTTTTTCGTTTTTACCGGTACCAGGGATTGAACTCACGACTACCTGCTTGCAAGGCAGGCACTTATGCCGCTGAGCTAAATACTCAGCCCTGGGAGTTGGCTTTTAAGTATCTTTAGAGGTTATATAAATATTTTATTTTAAAATTAATCTTTTGCAGTATTGGGGTTGAACCCAGAACCTTGTCCATGTCAGGCAAGTACAATTCTCTTTGGCAATGGCACAACTGCACAGGGATCCTACCCTGGATCACCACTGGCACCTCTGGAACTCTCAGTGTGTTCAGTTTACTAAGATATTAGAAAGTTTCACTCTATCCTCAGCCCTGTTTATTCATTTTTGAGATGAATCTTACTGTATTACCCAAGCTGGCCTCCAACTCCAGGGTTCAAGTGATCCTTCTGCCTCAGCCCACTGAGCAGCTGGGACTGCAGGCACTTGCCCCCACATTTGGCTTTCATTTCTTTGTGTATAGGCGTAGAGGGTGTTACTGGGGATCAAACTTAGGTGAGGGAAGCCCTCTACCACAGAGCTGCATCACCAGTCCTTTTTATTATCTGGGGACAGGGTCTTGCTAAGTTGCTTGAACTAGTCTGAGACTTCAGAGTAGCTGGGTTTATAGGCAGATGCCACCAGGCCCAGGTATTTTAAAAAATAAAGTTATTTTTTAACTGATACATAGAAACAGAAAATTGTATACTTTGGTGTGGCATCATGTATATTTCCACACATGTGTGTGCTAGGCTCTGCACATTTAAATAGATCAGCTAATAAGACAAGTTCATGTATTAATTCAGAAGATAAGTTGTCAAAGGTATGCCTTCTAAGAGTGATTTCTATTTAGAAAGGTGGAAAAATGATTTTTTAAAATTACATTTGTTGGTATATCCTGGAAAGTCCCTACTTTTTTTTTTTTAACTCTCAGTGTGTTCAGTTTACTAGGTATTAGAAAGTTTCTGAAATTACTTTTTTTATTTTTTTTTTCATACTGGGAATGGAACTCCTGACCTCAGGCTTCCCAGGCAGGCACTGTGCCACCACGCTATATCCCTGGCCCTGAAATCACTTTTTAAAAGTTTTGCTAGCTGGGCTGAGGCAGAAGAATTATTGTGAAGCCATCCTGGGCCACACAGTGAGTTTAAGTCCAGGCTAACTACAGAATGAGACAGTGTCTCAAAAAAAATTTAAAGTTTTAAAATAATAAATAAATAAGGCTGGGGGTTTAGCTCAGTGGCAGAAGTGCTTGGTTGGGAAATGTAAAGTCATGAGTTTGATCCCCAGTACCAAATAATAATAATAATAATAATAAATAAAGTGTTACTAAGTATTAGAAGTTGTATTTCAGACACAGTTCTGCACTTTTACCCTGTGACTAGATATTTCAAGGAGTTATTTTTCTAATTCTGATTTATTTGTAAGAGTATGTTCCTTTGATAGACTTTATATTGACGTGTTATGTTTTGAAAATACATGGCCACATGATATGCACTAAGAGCTCCGCTTCCTGTGTTACCTTCCTCCAACAGGATGAAGTGGTTGGCGTATGTGTTTGCGGCGTTCTCTTTGGCAATGGCACAACTGCACAGGGATCCTACCCTGGATCACCACTGGCACCTCTGGAAAAAAACCTATGGAAAACAATATCAAGAAAAGGTAGACAGGGTTAGCACTTGGGCAATATGCTTTTACACCAGTACCATCCCATTTTCTCACTCTCAAACCTGTGTTCTTAAAAGCGGTATTTTCTAGAAATAGTACGCGCTTATTTATTGTTGTGGGTACGGTACAGCAGGAAACAAAACAAAGTTCCTGTTACTGTGGCGAAAGTAAGTTAATAAGTAAACAAACAGATATATGCAGTATGTTGGATGGTGGGGAGGGCAGTACAGAAAAATAAAGCCTTGATTACAATGAGGAACTGATAGGGCCATGGACAGTAACAGTGAGAATCCATACCCGTGGTATAGTTGTGTCAAAAGCGCCAACAGAGAGCTGAGCAGGGAACTGGTAGAAGCAAGGAAGCAAGCAAAATAATGATGGAGTAAAAGTCCCAGGCCAAAGGAATACAAGGAAGAGAAGATTTGGCGTGTTTAAGGAACAAAAAGTTGTCATGACAGCCTTTGCACAGACAGCAGCTGCTAGGCTGTGAAACTGGATTCTCACTTCCCACTTTGATTTTTATTTTAAAGCATACATGTTAAATGATTTAAAAATTCTAACTTTCTTGTTTCACACAACTAAATCCTACAACTGTGTAACCATATAATAGCTCTATTATTGTATATAGCATATGTTACATTCACTGGATTAGTGATTTTTGGGGGGTACTAGGGATTGAACTCATAACCTTGTACTTGCCAGGCAGGCTCTTATGCCGCTAAGCAAAATCTCCAGCCAGGATTAGTGATTTTTTTGTGTTGGGAATTGAACCCAGAGCCTTTTACTGAGCTAAATCTCCAGACCTTTTTATTTTTTTCTTTTTGAGACAAGTTCTTACTAAGGCACTAAGTTGCTCACACCAGACTCAAACTTGCAGTCTTCCTGCCTCAACCTCCCAGAGCACTGAGATTACTAGCATATATATTACTGCACCCAGCTCCTTAGACCTTTAAATTTTTTTTTTTGATACAGGTTTCTTTAAGTTGCCCAGTCTAGCTTCAAACTTGTGATCTCTCCGCCTTCACCTTCTGAGAAGCTGGCGCTAAATATTGTGCCACCGTGTCTGGCTAACACAATTTTATACAAGGAATTTGAGCATCCTCAGATTTGTTATCCCTGAGATGCGATCTTTGTACCAATCCTTTGTGGATCCTGAAGGACAATTATATAGACCTTTCACTTACATTAAATTTACTCTGAAGTATTTTTTCATGTTATTGTAAATGCAATTGTTTTCTTAATCTCTTTTCAGATAGTTTTCTGTCTGCGTATACAAATACTATTGATTTTTGTATATAAACTTTTGCTGTTATTTTCTTGAGACCTGATCTTACTATATAGCTCAAGCTGGCCTTGAATTCACTTTGTAGCCCAGCCTGGCCTAGAGCCTCAGGCTCCTGAGTGCTGGAATTACAGATGTATGTCTACACACCCAGTTTATATGTTAATTTTGTCTCCTGAGAATTTTCCAAATTTGTCCTAACAGTCTTTTGTGGAGTCTTTAGGGTTATCTATATATAAAAGCATCCCTTCAACAAACAGAAGCAATTTCATTTTTTCTTTTCCTATATGGATGCTTTTTCTTTGTTTTTCTTGCCTACTTACTCTAAGACTTTTATGCTGGATAGAAGTAGTGAGAGGAGATGTCCTTTTCTTTTTCACATCCAAGAAGAAAGCCTTCAACTTTTCCTGGTTGAGTATGGTGTCACTTGGGTTTGTCACACACGGCCTTTGTTGTATTGAGGAGCATTCTTCTAACATGTTGAGAGTTTTTACTGTTTTGTCCAGTGTTTTCTTTCCATCCACAGAGATGATCACGTGGTCTTCATAGTGGTGGTGAGTTCTACTGTTACCCACTCCAGTCTAGGACCAGGTCCCTAATTTCAGAGTTAGCTAGAGTTAAATGCACAATTATAATCCCTATAGGATTAAGTAAATGCTATCCCTCTATTTCCAGTTCCAGTCCCTCAGGAGGAATGATCATGAGTTTTGAATAGTATCTTACCTTGATAATTTATCTTCAGTCCTCTCTCTCTCTCTTTCTTTCTTTCTTTGGTATTTACTACCTCATGCTTGCCAGGTAGGCACGTGCCACTGAGCTACATCCCCATCCCTCCCTCCTTTTTTTCCTTTCTCATGCTTTGTTAGAGTTATTTTCATTTATTTCATCTTTTTCTTCTCTAGTGGTATGGACATATGTCCACCATACAAGCCCATGATGTCCATGACTAGGTAACCGTAAAATTTGCTCCCAAAGAGAGGAGGCTATATCTGTAAGATTTCTTGAGAACAGGTTCTAGGCCTGGCCTCTCACGCTCAATGAAAAGAGGCTAAACAGGGGTTGCTGAGAGCTCTTGGGGCCTACAGCTCATTCTGGCCTTGGTGGTGGTAGGAGATGTCAGCTATTATGGGACATACCAGGTACATCATGTTATATTCTGTAATGCCTGTCCCAGAAGACAAGTAAATACAAATTTGCTCTGGATAAAATTAAAGTAATAGAACCAAAGATGACCTTAAACATAAAAACACAGCAATAAACATTAAATTTGTGAAATAAATTAGAAATCTTGGAAATAAAAGAATTCCCACTGAAACAAAAATTTGATCAGCATGATAAATTCCAAAACAACTGGCTAGAAGCAGTCATCTGGAAGACAGTGCTGAGGCACTAACCCAGAATATAACATGTGAAAATAATAGGGGGGTGGGGATATAGTTCAGTGGCACAAGTGCCTGCCTGGCAAGCCTGAGATTATGAGTTTGACCCCCAGTACCAATAAATAAATAACAAATAAATAAATAAATCAACCAAAAGAAAAAGAAAGATATGCGTGGTGGTGCCCGCCTGGAATCCCAGCACTCAAGAGGATGGAACACTGCAAGTTCGAGGCCAGCCTGGGATGCAAAGTGAGTTCAAAGCTGGTCTGAACTGCATTAACTCTGTCTCCAAAAAAAAAAAAAAAAAAAAAAAAAGACAAGACGAAAGAAAAAGAAAAATCCTTGCAATGCAAGTAAGAGACGAAAAAGTGCTTCAGATTCCAAAACACATTTCATAGGCCTTTCTAAAGGATAAAATGAGATGGAATGTTGGAGAAGCAATATATGAGACAATCCTGTTTAAAAATTTCCAAATATGAGAAAAGTTCTGAATTACCCAGTCAAGAGTGCCCAGCATAGCTAAGCATGGTGGCACACACCTGTAATCCCAGAACTTTAGGAGGCTAAGTCAGGAGGATGGCAAATTCAAGCACAATCTGGGCAACTTAGTGAGACCCTGTCTAAAAATAAAAAATGAAAAAGGGCCAGGGATATAGTTCAATGTGAAGACAGACCTGGGCTCAATCCCGCAACACCTATACACATAGAGCAACCAACCGAAGGTAAATAGTCAGAAACTATAGAATGTGAAATAAAAAAGAAAATCTACCAGAGTTAAAGCCCTTAGAACATAAGACTACATTCAGCAGGCCCATTCATTAGTGTTCTACTGCAGATTTGTACTTTAGTGAAATAGTGGCAAACTGTATATTTCAGTACTTTTCCCTGAAGGATACGAGAAGCAATCCAATACCAAGTTTATCCACTTGGTATGATGAACAGCAAGGAGTGTGCATGGGTACAAAAGTGTCAAAATGGAATTTGACACTTTATGCTCCATCTAACTGGTTTTGCGTATGTTTACTCAAGCATCACAGAAGATCCAATAAACCCACACCACTCTGAGATTTATTTTTTAAAAGTTTTCTTTTGATTTTTCTGGTAGAAATGCTTACTTCAATATAATGACAGATGAAAAAACATCTGCAAGTTTTGGAAGAAGTCAAAAGTGAATGATTAGGTTATTTGTGCATGGATGATGATAATTCATTATGGTAAAATACATGCTTTCATAACAGAAGAGTTGTGTGGGTGGATCATGATGATGCTCATCATGATGAGGATGCCAATGATGACTTCAGTGTTAGCCATGTGAGTCAAAGTTCTGTGACAGTGCAATGGAACCAGAATTGACTTATCAACTGATACAGACACAGGGAATGCGGCCCTCCTTCTTTCAGATAATGTAGAAAAAAGCAATGTGAGTACATATATGATTAGTTGAAATCTTACAGAATGGCCATGCAACCAAATGGAATGATCCAATGTTAGAACTAGATTTGAAAATACAATGAATTGCTGGGGATTTAGCTCAGTGGCATAAGCGCCTGCCATGCAAGTGTGCAGTCAGTGAGTTTGATCCCCAGTACCAAGAAAGAAAGAAAATACAATGAATTTCTTAGCAGGGGTGAAACATACTGGACAGAATGCCAGCATTGCCATTAAATGTTGGAAATTGTAACAGATGAAATGCTTCAAGATGCCATGAAATACAAAATGCTAAAATGCAAGTAAAACAAAATCTATGCACCAAAAGTCATATTCAAAAATGTATTTATTATGACATCTTGCGAGCTAAACTGAAAGCCTTAGCACAGATTTATGTTCTGCTGTACTTCGCACAGATTTCTCAGGGTGATCTCAGGAATCTAAAAGACTTGGAGAAAAGAGATGAGTCAAAATATGGCATAAAAATTTATGTCCTTGCTGATTAAAAGTCATTTCTTTTTCAATTTAGGCATTTATCCTAGAACTCAACCATCACGTCCTTATTCACACAGTAACAAACTGAATGATGTTGTGAACAGACTTGTTGCTCCCATTTCCCAAACTAATCAGAATGTGACATCTGACAATTGGTTTCCAGTTTCCAGTTGATGTTACCTTTGCTAACAGAGCATAAGGTGACCAGTACACAGGAACAAAGCAGAAATTCCAAATGAAATGTCACAATTTCAAAATAGAGAATTATGTAATACAATATATCAAATTGGCCTCTTATATGGCAAAGAAAAGCAAACTGGTACTGCAAATGTCAACATTTCACCATGATAGAAACATTGATAGGGAAGCCTCAACAAAAAGGAAGCCTGAAACAGAAATTTACTACAACAAAACCAAAGGTGGAGTCGGTGTTGTTGATGAGTTATGCAGCAACCATGATGTCACTTGAAATGCAAAGCATTGGCCAATGGTTGTGTTTCACTTGATTCTAAATATGTGTGATATAAATATTTTATAATTTTAAAAAAATAACAAGTGCAAAACCTAACGGAGAAATTTTCTTGAAGGATTATGACTGGAGCTCATAAGAGATCATTTACAACAGAAGGAAAACAAAATGTTTCTGGCCAGGGAACTATGCAAAAAAATTGTGGCAACCACTGGTAAGCTGACAGGTAAACACGCAGGCACAGCATCACAAAGACCTACAACCACAACAGGAAAATCAAAAAGATGTCAACTGTGCTCTGCAAGAAAGGACAGGAAAGCAAAACATACATGTTACCAGTATAAGTGATATTTGTGTATGGAATATGCAGTTATCATGTGTGAAGACTGCCTTGGGGGGGTGACAGTAGAAGCAAAGTTTATTTCTCTGGTAGACTTTTGTTTGTGTTTACCCTGTAGTTTACATATTTTTTTATTTTAAAAAGGATAAAACAGAATAAAGCCAATCAAAACAAACCAGTGTAAGAGATACAGGCCTTCAAAACATTATGAAATCAACAATAGTTACCATAAGTCCTTTTGATGTCTTCAAAATAGGTGTAGATAACTTTGGACACAGTAAAAATCAAACAGAACAGAGTAGAACAGAAACAGTAAAAATGAAACAATGAATGCAATATGGGATTTCAAAACAAACCAATACTAAATCCAAAATTGCTACCAATAATGTATCTTGCTATCTTTGAAATAGCTACTTCTGCCATTGGATTTAACATAATCAGACAAGACAAAAGAGAATAAAACTCAACCCAACAAAACAATGGAAATGACATAAAACCTCAAAATAAGATCACAGGAGTCAACAATGACTACATCCCTCAGAAGGAGATCCCCCCTAGATGCCTCACTGTGTACCGCTGTCCTCTGAACCTATGATCAGACCACGGCCCTAGACCTGCAGTGTTAGTGAAACACCAAACTCCACAGCCATCCCATTGCATTTCATCTCAATAGCTATCATCAGAGCCTGTGTTTCCCTGGAGAAGCCTGTTGCTTGGGGTGGGGTGGGGGAGTTTGGTGTACTTCTTGTTTGCCAGCCCATGCCAGAAGGGGATGTGTGCCGTCCCTCCCAGTCCAGCAGTGGCCCACACATGGCGCTGGTTCCCAGACTGGGTTTGTTTGCTGGTGCTGCCATTGTTCTCTCCCTTTATTTCAAGGTTTTGTGAGCAAGTAAACAGCTGATGTGAGTATGTTGGTGTCTATTCTAAGCACTCATTACATACTTGATGTTTTATTTTGTTGATATCTTATTTCCCTGCTAAATGCATGTTGTACAATATAGTAGGAAGCTCCTGACAAAACAGGAAGAGAGGTGACAAGACTGCCACATAGGAAAGAAAAACTCAGCGCATGTCCTGTCAGTGTGAAATGCATGCATGGAATGTGTAGTTTCATGTATGAAGACTTGAGTGTGACAAGTGAAGCAAAACTTATTTCTGTAGTAGACTTTCATTGGTGCTTACTTTGCAGTTCACATAGGTTTTTATTTCTGATGTTATCTTTTAAACACTGTAAGCAAGTACATAGCTGATGTGAAAAATGTTGATGCTATTCTAATGCACAATACATATTAAGAATATAATTATTTTATTGATATTTTATGTTTCTGTTAACTACATACTGTGTAATATAGTAAGAACCCCTGACAAAACAGTAAGACCACTGAGATGTTAAGTATGCCCTACAAAAAGGCCAGGAATGCAAGAAATATGTGCTGTCAGTATAAGTGATACATGTGTATGGAACAGACAATTGTCATGTGTGCAGACTGCCTTAGGTGTGATAACTGAAGTAAAAAGAGTGTTATGGATATTTTCATTATAGTTCATATAGGAATTTATTGCTTATGTTCTTTTTTTAGACTGTACACCAAAAACCCATCAATGTTGAAAATTTTGATGCTTTTTTTATAAACACTCAAATATTAAAAACTCAATACTTTATTTTTGTGATCTTTTTTCCTGTTTAATACTCAATGTTTAATACATTGAAACATTAAAACTCAATGTTTAATACAATAAAACTCATAAAATTAAAATTAATAATTCATCAATAGAAATATTCTTGATGACAAAATGAGTCTTATGCTCCTAGGGCTACAAACAGAGACACAATAATTAAACTGATAATATACCTCTCATGCACAACAATAGCTATCAGAAGATGCGGATAAACATCTTTAAATAGCTAAAGAAAAATAGCTAGAAATTTAAAATCAGCTAAATTGTTTTTCAAGAAAGAGTAAAAAGACATTTTATGACAATCCATAAAGATTGAATTTATACCTATAAAGGATATACTTCAATAAACAATAGTTTCTAAAAACAACTTTCACATTAGTTGAAGGAAATTCATTGTGTATATAACATATTATTAATATCTACCAAAGCAGATATTGGTAAGAATTATAATTAGAATGTGATTTTAACAGTTATATTGGATATATTCATTTATTTGTATGCCCTGACATAACTACACTGATTTTCATACAGTGCTATTTTCATTATTGAATATGAATTTGTCCAGAATGAAATATAACGCTCTTCTCCTACCCTGTATGTTAGAATGAAGAAGAAGTCCGGCGGCTCATCTGGGAGAAGAACCTAAAGTTTGTGACGCTTCACAACCTAGAACATTCAATGGGAATGCATTCGTACGATGTAGGCATGAACCATTTAGGAGACATGGTAGGCAAATTACACATACAGTGGTATCTAAGTTCATAAGTGCTTCTGTTTGTAAACAGTTTGGGTAACAAACAGAAGTATTTGGCAAAATTTGGTTTCTATAAAGCACTTGCCTGTCATGCAAGAGGCCTTGATTCAATCTTCAACAGCACCACCAAAAGGAACAAAAAAGAGCAGGTAGCCATATGCATACAAAGTGAGAAAACAGTGAAATTTAAGGAGATAAGAATTTGTCCTTAAATTCCTACTCTAACCACTGACCTTCACAAGTTTCTTCTTCAGTGGAAATTTTAAACTCACAGGCTTACTATCGCTTTCATTTTTATATGAATTCCAGGAAGAACTTTCTGAAGGCTGCTTATAGTCTTTTATAGTAAATTACTATATTTATTTAAGTATAAATTGGCAAGCAGGCCCACATACTTTGATACAGGATATCATAATCTCCCATGTGGGCGGTGTGTGTGTGTGTGTGTGTGTGTGTGTGTGGTATTGGGGATTTGGGCACCCTAAGGAGGCATTCTTCTACTGAGTTGCATCCCTGGCCCTCATATTAGTTATACTCTATCCCACTGTACTACTGTCGCCCAAATCAAGAATTGTGGTACTATTTGGAAGGTGATACTCCTGGAAGATCAAATTTCTACTTAAATGCAGAAATTTCCTCTGTAATTTTCACAAAGAAAACCAATTTGGCCCACTTATGGCATGGCTTGCCTCTGCCTCTCTATAATTATCAGTTGTTACCATTTTCGTTTTCCCCTCCTTGGTGAGGGCGCTTGGGTAACTGAGAAGCAGTTAATGTGGAAGAATAAAAAGACTTGGACAATTCACTCTACCATTCAACAGTTCCTATCCTAGTCACAACTCTCACTGGTTTTTCTTCATTTTAAAATAAATTCACATTTATAGCTATTAGGAAGTTTAAAGAAGGATTTGAGGGAAAGGGAATGTATCTTTGCTTTGCAGACCAGTGAAGAAGTGCTGTCTTTGATGAGTTCCCTGAGAGTTCCCAGCGAATGGCCCAGAAATGTCACTTACAAATCAGACCCTAATCAGAAACTGCCAGATTCTATGGACTGGAGAGAAAGGGGCTGCGTCACTGAAGTGAAATACCAGGTGAGCAAATCATCCCAGTCCTCTCCCCACAGCAGAGCTCTCTCTTCCTATCACTGCTTACATAACGGTTATTCTTGTCTTCTCAACTAAGCTGCCTGAGGGTAAAGCTCACACATGACACTATTTATTGTTCCCACGGTGCTTAGAATATCAGTGGCAATGCAGCCATTCTAGACAAAAACTGTAACCCATGTCATCAGGTTTACAAAAAACAATGTTAGTGCTCATGTCATCCATTGACAACACTGGACCGTCCATCATGCCAGTTGCTTGAGAAGCAGTGTCCAGTGTGAGGGAAGTCTGATCAGGAAGTTTCTCTCTCTATTTAACTTACAAATATCAAAGTGGTAGGAGAGGAAAAACCTAGAGCTACAGTGGCCATTGCCAGTCAAGTTAACATACAGCTAAGTTTGCATTGTTGGAGTAAGAAATGTATACTTTGCAAAAGTGTTCCTGTTATGGATTAAGAACTGGTGATCAATTTAACGCCAGCTGGATTACATCAGCATGGCGCTGAGCATAGATGCTCCACCTGAGGAAAGTTACTAGCATAAATAGAGAGGTGGAGAAGGAGAAGCTATTGCGTTGAGGCATTGAGGTGTTGTGGGTTCTCCTACGAGTTGCCTTTTGAGCCGTTGGTTCTCCTGGAGAAGCTCTCATCCTTACATTGAGCGTTGCTTCCTGGCTCTGGAGGGGAAGACATGAGCCACTTGGTCTCCAGGATGAACTCATCACCCTGGCTTCCTGGCATGTACTTGACTATGCTTGTCAGAGGAGGAGTTTGGGGCTTCCGTGTCACTGAGGATGGCTGTGGTGCCTTTCAGGACAACCCTGGTCTTTATTGTGAGTGTCGCTTCTCGGCTCTAGCATAGAACCCTCAACCCACCAGCACAGCTCCTTCACCCTACTGGCATGGACTTCCTGGCTTCCACCGCTGACCTTTGGGCCTTCCCAGCATGGATCCGTAAAAAAGACTGGTGTGAGTCCTTGTGGGCTCTGGACCTCCAGTTGGACTTGTGGGAGGCATTGTCATGAGCTCTGGGTTTTCATCTGGACTCAAGTGGGACATTGCTATGGGATTCAGGTCCTTGGCTAAATATTCTGTGTCTTTTGTGTACTGGATAGATTCCTGCAGTTTCTTGTGTTAACTCTGGGTGACCATCATAAAAACAATATTATAAACTACATATGTTATGATTGTAATTTTTCTCCACATAACCCTTGACTAAAAAGGTTCCTATGTTGTGTTTTCCTTTACTGTTTTGTTTTTTAAAAAAAAACTAAAAAATATCCTAAACAAGTTAGCAATGACTTAGGATAAAACACACATGTTACTCTGGTAAGGGAGAAGAATCAGAGCATTCTGAGCAGCTGTCCCATGCGATCAAAATTTATTAAGAAGTGAATGGCACTGCTAATCTCTTATTCCTTCTCACTTATATATTTTTTGCCCCCAAACTAATATTAGGTTTCTTACTCAAGTCTCTGTAAAATAAAAGTTTGGGAAGGCCCAATCAACTGCATATTTAAGTATTAATTCTGAAAAATTTATGAGGTAGGAGGAGAGGAGAAAATAGGAGAGGGAGAGACGAGCAGGGAGGATGGGGCTCTCTACACTCTGAATGTTTTTTTTTTTAACTAAATCAGCTCTGTGTTTTCTGTTCATTTTGGTTTCTTATAAAATATCTTTTGATAAGATAAGCTAAGGACAATAATGTTTGAAAAATATTAACTTATAATTAAAGCTCTTAGGTTTAGAGCATCATTTGGCAGGAGGAAAGCAACATCTGAACAAAGAAATCATTTTTTTTCCTCATTCAAAATCCCTTACTATACACATCCATCTCTCTTTGCTTGAGGGAAAGACAGGTCGAATTTGGTGCTTGCTCAGTGAGTGTCGTTTCTTAATTGACTTGAATATGTCCATTATGGTCTAAGCTCTGGCCATTTGCAAGTCTCCATGAGATGGACTCTGCCTGGAGAACAATCAAATATTTAGTCCTCAATCCCACTGTCTAACAGAGAAAGAAACTAGTAGGGGAGCCCTTCCCCAGAATTAGGGACAGAGAAGCTGTGCCCTGGTACCACCCTGTTGGTGTGATGGAAGCCATGCTTACTGAGCACCTTTGTGACTGTCTCTTGTAGGGTTCCTGTGGTGCCTGCTGGGCTTTCAGTGCCGTGGGAGCCTTGGAAGCACAGGTGAAGCTGAAAACAGGAAAGCTGGTGTCTCTCAGTGCACAGAACCTTGTAGACTGTTCAACTGAAAAATATGGAAATAAAGGTTGCAATGGTGGCTTCATGACCGAGGCTTTCCAGTATATCATCGATAATAACGGCATTGACTCAGAAACTTCCTATCCCTACAAAGCTGTGGTAGGTCACAAGCAAACCTCCTGTAGTCCATGGACCTCACAGGGCTCACCACCAAGCCAGTTGCTTCAGAAGTCGTGTTGTTTTTAAACAAATGAATACCAGTCATACTTAAGGAAATATTCTCAAAATTCTTTCTGAATAGCTGCCTAAGATTTAAGCTTTTTGGTTCTGCAGCCTCCCACATTCAACCTTACTTTCAGACCATCAACAAGGTTATTCTTCCACATATTAAAAAAGTTCTTTTCCTTGCAAGTTTACTACACATTTTGTTACATTATCACATAATATGTCCATCTTACAGAAAATTTAGAAAAGATAAAAAATACCACAACCTGAGGATGGTGATAACACGTATAATCCCAGGATTTGGCAGGTGATGCAAAAGTATCACTTTGAGTTCGGGCCAGCCTGGGCTACCTAGTGAGTTCAAGGCCAGTATGAAACTCTCAGAGACCCTGTCTTTGAGAACTTGTCTCCAAACAAAATACTCAAATACCTCTACTGTTTTACTTTATTTCTCCCATGGTCTTTTCCTGTTAAGCATTTTCTAAAAATACAGTTGCATATACATGAATTTCTAACATGTATCTTACATAAACATGGATTTATAATCGTCTTCTTTCCACCAGACATATACTAATATGCGTTTTCCACATTGTATGGCCTTTTTTTTTTTTGAGATAGGGTCTTTCTCCTAAGTGCTGAGATTACAGGCATATGCTACCATACCTGATATGAATATGAATAGTCTTTACAAAGTATCCTTTTTTTTTTTAATACTGGGGAGCTAACTTAGTATCTTCTACATGCCTAAAACTTTTGATAAGATTTCATTAAACTGCTGAATTTCCTAGACTGGGCTTGAATTTGTTATCTTTCTGCTTCAACCTTCCAGAGTGCAAGGACTGAACCACAACACTCAGCTTCTAAACTATCATTTTAACTGCAAACATCTTACACTCATGACATCATAGAACTAAATTTAAAGTTCTAGTCAAGAGTTTCTGACTTCTGTGTAGTATTCCCCTGCAGTATACCTCACCTATTGTCCTGACAAGTTTTATTTTTGTTTTCTTGTTAGTTAGTTTTTGAGACAGGGTCTTACTATATTCTTCAGGCTGGCCTTGAACTTACTTTGTAACTCAAGTTGGCTGAGAACTTGCAGTGATTCTCCTGCCTCTGTATACCCTTGAGTATCATCATGCCCAGCTCCTGGCAAGTTTTGCATATAAAGATATTTAGAATTTAAAGCAATAGAATAGTTCTGTATTTCCTTTGGTATTGATGAAATCTGGAACTGATGATTTTGGATAGTCTGATTATTCTTTCTTTAAAAGGATGGAGTCTGAGCTGGGTGTGATGGTGCATGCCTATAATCCCAGCATTTGGGGGCAAAAGCAAGATTGTAAAGAGTTCAAGGCCAGCCTGCATTATATATCAAGACTCTGTTGCAAAAAATAAAAAAGAAACAAAACAGGAGTCTTAGCTACTTGAAAATGTTAAAGTGAGGGAAAAATATATTTAAAATTCAGGTTTAGGATATTGGTGATTTATAAAGGCAATTGAAATATATACTTCATCTATTGTATATATATATATTTTTGGCAGGATGAAAAATGTCATTATGATTCAAAAAATCGTGCTGCCACATGTTCAAGTTACACACAACTTCCCTTTGGCAGTGAAGAAGCTCTGAAAGAAGCCGTGGCAAATAAAGGACCAGTATCTGTTGCTATTGATGCAAGTCATGCTTCGTTCTTCCTCTACAAAAGTGGTAAAACAGATATGTGAACTTCTTGCTACATCCTGACCTTGCACAAAGAAAGAATAGTATCCTTCTTCATCACTCCATCCAAGTGCCTAGATAGGTTAGAATCTCTCATTTCATTTAAGTGTTTTATACCCAGGTCTAATTAGGAAAGTTGTACTTATGAAAGTTTACTAACACTAAATGTCAGGTACTATGTTCAGTCTTTATGTGAATTATCTTATTTAATCTTCCAATGACTTTAATTTGCAGATGGAAAAACACACTATAGGGATTATCTGGCCTGAAATCACACAACCTAAAAGTGATTGAGCTGAGATTAAAAACTACTTACCTTAAGCAAATTCAATAAAGTTATAAAATACAAAATCAACATACAATAATCAGTTGTTATAAAAAAGAAAAAAATAAGTTACTTTTAAAATACAATAGCCAAGTATCTAAGGTAAAAATCAAGAAAGAAATCCAATTTACAAGGGCTACCAAAAACAAAAAATCCTAAGAATAAATTGAGCCAGAGGTGAAAAATATCCATAATGAAAATTATGACACATTGATGAAAGAAACTGAAAAGGACACACACAAAAAAATGGAAAGATATTTTGCGTCCATAGATTAGAAGAATCTATATTGTTAAAATGTCTAAGCTACTCAGAGTGAATTACAGGTTTACTACAATTCCTATCAAAATACCACTGATATCTTCACAGAGCTAGAAAAAATATCCCAAAAGTTTTATGGAAACACACACGCACACACACAAGCAAAAGCTATCTTGTGCAAAAAGATAGAGTTGTAAAGAGTTCAAGGCCAGCTGCATTATATATCAAGACTCTGTCGCAAAAAATAAAAAATAAAAAAAGAAGAAAAAACAAAAGGAAGCCACCTGAATTCAAAATATACTACAGGGCCATGGATTTAGCTCAGTGGTGTAAGTGTCTGCCTGGCAAGTATGAGGCTGTGAGTTTGATCCCTTGTACAAAACAAAACAAAAGGCCAGGTGTAGTGGTGCACTGCTATAATACCAGTACTTGGGAGGCTGAGGCAGGAGGATCGTTGCAAGTTCGAGACCAGCCTGCTGAGCTACAAAGTTAGCCAAAGGGCAGCCTGAACTGCATAGTGAGACTCTGTCTTGAAAAGACCAAAAAATATATATACAGATTGGAGATGCAGAAACAACTCCAAATATACTCAGCCACTTTATCTTTGGCAAAAGAACCAAACATCTTCACTGGAAGAAAAATAGCCTCTTTATAAAATGGTGCTGGACTATGATGAGTGTGATCATTATGTATATCTAAAATGTACCAATAAAAGAAAAAAAGCACATGACAGAAAAATCAAGTTTCATGAAAATTCTAAAAGCAAAATGTTCTATATTTTCTTACAGTATTCACTCTTTTTCCTCACCCATACATTCATTCTCTTTTTCATTTATTTGGTTTTTTTCTTTGCTTTGTTTTATTGCTGTTTTTTCCATTTTTTCACCCTTATTTTATCCTCAGGTGTCTACTATGACCCCTCCTGTACTCAGAATGTAAATCACGGGGTAGTAGTGGTTGGCTATGGTAACCTTGATGGAAAAGACTACTGGCTTGTGAAAAACAGGTAATATCTTCATACTAATGTATCATTAATAAAATCAAGTGTGCTCTGTGAAGACGATCAGGGTGCTGACAATGATAAACACTGACTGCTTCCTGCAAAGTGACATTGTAAATTACTCAATGCCCTATTTTCTACTTTCTATTCTGCCTTTCTCTTTGTTTTTAAGATTTATCTTCTACTATACTTCTCTCTCTCTCTTTTTTTTTTTTCTTGATACTGGGGATCGAACTCACAACTGTGTGCTTGTAAGGCAGGTGCTTATGCCACTGAGCTAAATCCCCAGCCCCGATACTTCTCTATTTTTGTTTGGTCCCTCTTATGAATATGTGTTCCTCCGCTTAGTCTGCATATGTTGGTTAGTTACTCCAGGGTTCCATCTTAGTCATTACTCCCTTCACTCTCCCTCCTCATCACTCCTTTTTTGGGACAAGGACTTGCTCTGTAGTTCAGGCTGGTCTTGAACTCACTATATAGCCCACAATGGCCTTGAACTGGCAGCAATCTTCCTGTCTATGTAGCTTTTAATCCCAGCACTCAGGAGGCTGATGCAGGAGAATCCCTACAAATTTGAGGCTAGACTGGGCTACATAGTGAGTTCAAGGTCAGTATGAAATAGTGAGAATCCACCTCAGAAAATATGTATATGAGTGATCCTGGGCTTATAATTCTAATCATTCGGTGCAAAATTAATGTTTCCTAATTAAGCAGACAATTCTTCGATGTTGTAGTCTTTACCTGCCTTGCCAGCTTCAAATCTTAGTATTTGTTGTTTCATACTTTCCATTCTAGTTATGCTGAACTATAAATATAGATAAGAGTACAAATATACAAAGTTGTAGTTCCCACCCATACATTTTCCTATGTCTTCATATCTTAGTTATGTTTTCCCTCTGTCTAAAACAAACTTCTTCCTCATTTGGCTTATTCCTCCTTTTCTTTCAAAAGCAACTCAGGCATTATCTAATTTCAGAAAATCTCTGAATCCTTTGGCTAAGGAAAATACCTTTTTCCTATGCGGCAAAAAGTTTGTACATATACTGGATCACAGCATTTTATGCATTGTATTTCTTTTGTATTTTATTTTTGGGGTTTTTTTGGAGGCAGGGTCTTACTATGTATATTTATCTATCCACCATCCCAATACATTGCATATACAGTTAGGGTAGAGATTGTGCCTCATCTTTTAGTTTCAGCACAATACAAATGGTACTTACTGACTCTTTAGTATACGTACTGAATTGACATCTACATAATTCATAAAGAAAGAAATATAACGGTCAGGGGGAAAAAGGTAGGGAAACGAATGATCTTACATGTGGATCTAAAGCAGTCAAACTCACAGAAACAAATTAGAACAGTGGTTGCAAAGGATCAGAGGTTAGGAGAAATGATGAGAGGTGGACCAAAATGTACAGACTTTCAACTATAACATAAAAGTTCTGAGCTCATACACAGCATGGTAGTGATGGATGTTAGAATTGCTCCATAAATCCCAACTATTGGATATGGATTATTTCCAGTTTTCAATCTCTTAAAATGACTTCTCAGTAACATACTTCTCTCACCAGCTTCCCATTTAGAATCTCTGCTTGAAAAAATCTAAACTTTCCACCTACTCACCCTACAAATACTCACAACATGCACTTGGAATCTCACACTCAGTAATTCTAAAAAATTCCTTCTCTATATACATCTCAACAGGGTTAGGTGTTAAATTGTACAAAGAGATAAAGACTGGGGTAGTATCCAATGAGGACTGATACATGACATGTTCAAGGCTCCTTAAAGCACAGCCCCTTATATTATCCCACTTGCTTTCTAGCAATAAGTCTGCACTTCTCAATTTCTTCATTGCAAGAAAATATGCGAACTTCCTTTAAGTCCCTGAGCAAAACTTTATACAACAGGTTCCCTTGCCTATGAAATTAAAAGTATAAGTTCCTCAGCTTGGTATTTTCAACTCTTTACAACATGGCCCCAAAACAATGTTCTTTTTTTTCCAGCCATTCCACTACAGATAACCAGTTTTGTGGGATCAACTAAATTTCTCCTTGTTATTCAAACACACTAGGCATTTTTCAATTTCATGCTTTTATTTGTATCCTAATATAGCAATTAATTCTGCCTCATGTAATAATTATTCATATAACTATAATGACAAAACCTTAGAACTTCAGGAACCATTTCTCTTAAAAGGATTTTGTCAATTTTTCATAAGTTTGTGATAAAATGAAAAAAAATATTTTGGTGACTTTTCCATAATCTAAACTTATTTGACTCAAAAGATTATCCTTAGAGAATATAACCTCTGGTTATTGTTTTTGATGCAAAATGCCTTCTCTTTTCTGACATGATGGTGATACTAAACAGTTTGATGTTCATAAATGCTAATTTAAAAACTGGTAACTTTATTTCAATCTAAAACGTTTTTAAATCCTCTCTTCCGTGGAATAAAAAAGTGAGCAAACCATTGATTTCCTCTAACCACTATCTAACCCATGAATTCTCTCCACAACATTCATAACAAATTATGCAGAAAGGCTGTGCTTGAACACGTCCAGTGCCAGGGATCCCTTATCTTCACAGGTGGTACATCCCCCCCCGCCCTTTTTTTGACGAAAGTCTCATCTAAGTCCACATCAGCAAGCTCTTTCAGATCTGCACAAGTACTTATCCTTCACTTTAGAATCCCCTGCCCTATAAAGTTTTCATAGTAATCACTCATAAATTTCTTAAGAGACATTCTTTAAAGAAATTTTAAGTTTGTTAGAAACTCATCACCCACAATCCTTTTATACAAAAACTTTTAATGATGGCATATAACACTCTTTCCCTGTAGAAGGCATGTTTACAAAGTAAGAGAATTAAAAGGCTAGGATGGACTTGAGATTGTTCTCCTTAGTTACTAAGTCTATTCAACAACATAGAACTAAAGCCTTCCAAACTATCCTTTGGAAATTGAAAATTGCCTAAAATCCCTGGGGAAGTTATTATATTATTTCATCCTAAATATGCTTTATAGCTTTGGAAAAAAAAGAGAAAAAGATAATAATGTTATTTGATTGTATTTGCTTCTAATTTTGGGTTATTTCTTTTTCTACAGCTGGGGCCTCTACTTTGGTGATCAAGGATATATTCGGATGGCAAGAAACAGGGGAAATCATTGTGGGATTGCTAGTTATAGTTCTTACCCAGAAATCTAGATGAACTCTTCATTTTATTTTATATTTTTTGGTACCAGGAATTGAATTTAGGACCCTGCACTTTCCAGGCAGGTGGTTGTGCTGCTGAGCTATATCTATGGCAGATCTCTTCATTTTACAAGTCAAGAAGATGAAAACTCTCCGTTAATTTTATTTGCTGTATCCAGAAATAAGTGTAATGATCAGTGTATATTTATCATACTTATTAGAAAATAGTTTGCTTCTTCACTTTATAACATTGCATATCTCTAAAACAAGTTTGCAAAATAATAAATTAATAATGTGCTATCGATATGAAAATTAATTTGTAACTTTTTATAACTGGCTGGCCTAAGAGAGCTCAATAAATCTATCACTCCAAATTTCTCACATTGTTACATGTTCAAGTTATTTTTTGTTAACTATTAGACTCTCTCATAAAAATGTTAGTTATGGTACACTACTGATGAGTTATGGAAACAGTCATAGAAAGTAGGTTATAAATGTCTGGAGAGTGCATACTGCATCATTGCTCATAGGATTCAATAAATATTTATTGGGTTCTGACCTAGATCCCTGAACTCCCAAATGAGTGTATGGCGGAGGTTAAATAAAAAGAGATAAATTGTATGACTTTTAGGGCTCCAGGAGAGTCAAACCCTTTTAAGGTCGAGGTTTCCAGGGTAAAGACAAAAGATTCTCTGGATCAGTCCACTTATATTAGGACCAAGGACAAAGGGCAGAGAAACTGAGGAAAGTGCAGGCAATGAGCAGGACCTTGGGAGTCACTTCAAAGATGTCTCTAAGTCATGAATCAAGTCAATTAGTAGCACTGTCTTATCATGAAGACAGGGTAGAAGTGAAACTGTAGGAGTAATCTTTGCAGCTGCAGTCTCTACCTTGTTAATTGGGGTTGGAGCTAGAGTGTCTGCAGCTGTGGCCTTATTTTGTCCTTTGAGGTATCTCTGGCCTCACAGGCCACTACAGGCCTCAGCCAGGACCAGTGATTCATAGAGGTTCACTTACTATGAATCTGAATCAGCTCCCATCGCCAAGCAAGGGGCCTAGGCCTACAGCAGACTCACAGATAAACATAGAAAGCCAATTAGTACAATTTAAATCCTGCTCAGAGCCACTTCATAGTGGTCTCCAAGAAATATTTTTAGATTAAATCATGTTAAAATATAGTACACAAATAGTACACTGATCAGGCCCACAACCTCCCACATGAGTGGATGGAGAAGGCTTAAATAAAAGAGACAAGTGGTATGATTTTAAGGCTCCAGGAGAATCAAAACCCTCCAGCAGAATTTTCTAGGGGCTGAGACAAAGAACTTTTCTGGGCAGCCTGTATTTATTTGGTTTTCAAACAAAGGGAGGGTATACTGAGGAAAACTTGGGAACTGAGAGGGAGTCAGTTCTCCGAGTAGTAAATTATGCTAATTTAGGAGAACTGTCTTATCTCCAGGTTGACATTTATGGCAAGACTGAGACAGCAGAAGTGAGATGCTTGCAGCTTCAGTCTCTAGGTAGTTAACTGGGGTTGTAGACAGGTGTCTTCAGCTGTTGCCTTATCTCATTCTTTGAGATACACATCACAGGTCACTACAGACCTCCCTCAGAACCAGTGATTCATAGAGGTTCACTTACTATGAATCTGCTGTCCATCTCCTGCAAGGGGTTTAGACAAGGGACAGACTCATGAGTAAACATGGGAAGCCAATTGGTTAATTTTAACTCTTGCTCAGAACTGCTTTGTGGTGGTCTCCATTACACAAATATTTAGAAGTTAAGCTGTTTTCAAACACTTTGGAAGAATTATTTTTGTTTATCTCTGCATAGCTGAAAATCAAACCCAAGATCTTTTCCTTACTAGGCAAATACTCCAAAACTGAGCTACAACCCTAGCCCTGGAAGGATTATTTTAATAATCAACACTTTAATATACTAGTTCAAATTACTTTCACTGAATCATCAACAAGTTGACCAGGGTCTTTTTTGGGCAAATAATTGAATCGACTCAAATAAATATTTCTTCTAAAATATTCCACTATAGTACTTATGTTTTTGTCTAATTCTAATCGATCTTCCTCATAATTGCTCCAAATTAGTAGATAAGTTGTGAACAGGCAACAGGAATTGTAAATTTTATAAATTCAAGCTTATCACCAGACGTGCTGGCTCGTGCCTGTAATCCCAGCACTCGGGAGGCTGAGACAGGAGGATCATTGCGAGTTCGACACCTGCCTGGGCTACAAAGTGAGCTCAAGGCCAGCCTGAACTGCATAGTGAGACCCTGTCTCAAAAAGACCAAAAAAAAAAAATTCAAGCTTATCACACGAAAAATGTATAGGATAATCTCATTACTATATATTAAACTGTCCTTAAACTAATTTACTTTGTTTTCTATTCATAAAACACATTTTAGGGGCCAGGAATTTAGCTCAATTGCTCAAGCACTTGCCTAGTAAGCACAAGGTCATGAGTTTCATCCCTGGTACCCAAAAATAAATAAATAAATAAATAAATAACATTCTAAGGAATAAGAATCAACAAACACAGCTGGTTGTGGTGCATGCCTATAATCTTAGCACTGAGGAGGCTGAGGCACGAGGATTGCCATGAGTTCAAGGCCAGCCTGAACTACATATAGCAAGACCCTTTTTCAAAAGTAAAAGAAAGAACTGCCAAATATAAAAACATAGTCATGTTGGGAGTGGTGGCATATGCACATAATTGCAGCACTCAGGAGAGATGAAGCAGGAGATCATTGCAAGCTCCAGGACAGCCTAGGCTACAAAGTGAGTTTAAGGACACCCTGAACTGCATAGTGAAATCCTTTAAAAAGCAAAAATATGGTCATAATAATCATTAAAAGTGTGAAGAAATGTTACAATTAAAAATAGTTATTTTTCTTTCATTTTAACAGTTTTGTTTGTAAGTACTATAATAAAAGCATCAGTTCTTAATTTTTAGTAATCTAGTAGTAGATGGATGTCTTTTCAGAAAAAAATTGCATAAAATAAAGTACATAAGTTATAAAGGCAACCAATTGAATGCAGTTATTAAATTCTGAAATATAAATTTATAACAATAATATACATGTTTCTTTATAAATGCATTAAATAACAAGAGTTAATAGTCATCCTAAATTTGAAGTTGTGAGTATGATACTTGAAAACTCCAAAAATTGTAATGTTGGGGTTGGGGATTTAGCTTGGCAGTGCAAGCGCCTGCCTTGCAAGTGCACAGTCATGAATTCGATCCTGGGTACCAAAAAAAAAAAAAAATTGTAATGTGGCATGAAAATATCTAGATTTTCTTTCAATGATAAAATCACAGACATTGTAAGATTACAGTTTGAGGTGAACCTGGACAACTAAGTGAGACCCTGTCTCAAAAATTTTTAAAAAATGTTTTAAAGGACTGTTGATGCAGCTCAGTGGTAGAGCATCCCTGTGTTCAATCCCTGAGAAACAAAACAAAACAAATCACAGCTATTGCTAAAGTCACTGTAGTGTACAAGCTATTTTCAGAATTAAGAAAATGCTTGCTTTCAAGTGGAGATTGTTGACAAGGTTCTGGTCACGCTACTACAGAAATATCCCTTTGGCATAAGGGATATTTTAAGCTGAAGACATCTGAGACAACACAGAAGCAGAAAGGTCACTGTGACAGTATCTTTATTCTTCCTCACTGAGCAGGGAGGACCACAAGACTCACAAGCAAGAGGCTCCAGCTCCATACCTGGAAAGAACAGCCTGAGCTCCAAAAAAAGGGGAACGCAGAGGCCCAAACAGGCCTTCATCACCAGAAGTATGACATAAAAAACACTCCATTTGAACTGTTTCATAAGGTCTTCTTTTTTGCATGAAATCTTCTTTGCCATGGAAAATGTTTATTAAATAAATTTGCATTCATTTCTTTAGTTTATCTGTCTTTTGTTGTAGTAACCTCAGCTATGAATCTGGGATAGAAATATATTTTTCCTTCTCTTTCATTAATATAAAAATAAAAATACAATTTTTTTCTATTCACAAATTCCCCGAATTCTATTTATAGAGCCCTTAGGAGTATGTACCCCAGGTAAAGAACACCTGAACTAGGGCCGGGAGTTTAGCTCAGCAGCATAAGCACCCATCTGGTAAATGCAAGGTCACCTGAACTAACAGGTAAAATTATAAAATATTTAAAGACCTCCATCAATTGTACATCCCGACTTTCCCATTCCATATTTTCTATGATCTAAACATATAGGCCTTCCTTCAGTTTTTGGAACACTTCCTTCTTTGAGGGCTTTTCAAGTGTTGTTCTCTCTGCCCAGAACATTCCTGTGTCCCATCCTGTCCACTCAGCCACATTATTCTGATTATTCCTGGTCACCCTTCTGCTTGTTAATGCAAATGCCATTGCTCCTGGAGGGTCTTCGACACTCATTGAATCTGATGCTTTTTTCCCAACTACATCAAGTTGTAATTTTTCATTTATGTATTTGTATAACATCTCCTTAATAAACTGCAAAATCAGAAGGGCAGAAATCATGATGTTTGCCTATTATCTTGTGCCTAGAATTATAACATAATGCCTGTCAGAAAGGCTTTCATCATTGTTCACTGAAAGAATAAGTGAATGTGGGATGAATGAAAGTAAATGTCTAGCACATTGTGTGTCAGAAATAAAAATATGTCCTAATAGTTCTTTCTCAGATTTCTTAGATTTCTTTTTATTATTCAAAACACTTCTCTCAGCTTGAGATGTAAGTCTGTGACAGATAGTGCTTACCTAGGTATTCCTGGGTTTGATACTTAGCACTGTTTAAAAAATAAAATAAACAATAAAACTAACAATTGTCATTACTTACAGTAGTTATATTCTATAAAATTGCTATGAAAATTGAATTAGCAAATAGTAGGAAAAATACAGTTAGGTTCCTATGAAGTTTTGGTCACATTTTCATCAACAAATCAATACAAACTTATTTTGTATGTTTGTTTAAGACAACTTATTTAATACATACTGTTTATTCACCTACGTTGACCTCATGCTCAATAGTGCTATAATCCCTGCCTGAAGCAAGTTTATGTAACACTGGTATCTTCATAAGGAAACAAGGCAGCACTTAAACACATCCATTTTAAACAGCAAAATCACACATACGAAACACAAAGATACAAAAATGTGACACCAACAACTTCAGAATGGACGTTTGCTAGCTGGACATGATGGTGAATGCCTGTAATCTCAGCATTTTGGGAGGCTGAGGCAGGAGGATTGAAGTTTGAGCCAACTCCGGGTAACTCAGCAATTTAGTGAGACCCTGTAAAAAAAACTTAAAAGGATTGGGGAAGTAGCTTCCTGTGAAGACCCTAGATTCAAACAATCCCCAGTACCAAAACAAACAAACAAACCCCATTTGATTACAAGAACCAAAATAAGAAGGCAAAGTGTCATTTTGTTCAACCTTGAATTGTATGAAAACATGTAGAGACACTGACATTTTATTGTTTGAATTTTAATTTTTATTAGTGCATGTTTGCAGTACACACTGATTATATTTGCCATGGGGACATATACATAACACATCTTAATTCTTTTTACATCCCCTTTCCTCCTCCTTCTTCTATCTCAAAATTTTTGCTGTTCTGTGCATGTCTGCAAATGACTTCAAAAGCCATTTTTGAGGGTTATGAAAACTTAGTAATGGGGCAAATTCACAAATAAGAGTTCTGAGATTTGTGAATGAAGATTGTGTGTTTGTCTGCATACAAGAAACAGTGAAACGTTCTATCCCACTCCTTTCCCCTATAGGCTCAGAGCCCTCCTTCTAAGAAGAAATCTCTTAAATTAGGCATGTTGGTGCATGCTTATAACCCCAGAACTCTGGAAGGCTGAGGCAGGAGGACTGCAAGTTAGAGACCAGCCTGCACAATCTAGCAATTAGTGAAACCGTTAAAATGAAAAATTTAAAAAGCACTGGGAAACTTGTTCTGAAGTCCTGCAATACACCCAAGATCTTGTTTTGACTGATTAGACTCTGTTCCATTTTGTATGATAGTATCAAGTTTGAGGGTATAGGCAACTACTTTGAAGGCAATAAGATTCACTAAGAAGCCCATTCTGGTTTGACTATTGTCTCCTTTGGAAGTCCTGTAATGTTTACAATGCCTAAGTTTTATTGGTCTTGTTCTCTACTGTTTTGTTCAACTTTATAATATCTAATGAGATAGAAAATTCTTTTTAAGGAAACAAGAGACATCGTTGATAGCCATTGTTGATAACCTTGTACTCTGTTTTGCAACCTGTGCTATGTCTATCCTTGGTTTTGACTGACAGCTTTGTTTTGCCATATTTGACTTTATTCTCTCCCCCCCCCCAAAAAAAGTAATAAGAACTAAGGAGTAATAAAATCCAAAATGTGTAAATTTTGTTGTAAAAAAGAGAAGGGGGAAAAAAAGAGCTCTAACGGATATAACAGCAAGTGTGTTTAGGGGTGTTAAATAGCTGACTATATTAATGTTTTTGGATCATTGAACACAGCTGTTTGCAGTCTCACTGTTTGAATGTCCACTTTGTATTCTTTGATACTGTGATTTGAGCAACTATTTCTAAGATAATATGTAATCTATTAACAGGTGATTTCTTACTGTTTTTTTTTTTTTTTTTGTAGTTCTGTATTACGTGTACCCTTACACCGCTTTGTTTTGTTTTGTGTTTTTCTCTTTTTCCTTTTAAATAAAATTTTTTAAAAAAAGCACTGGGAATGGAGTTTGGTGTGAAGGCCTTGTGCTCAATTCCCAGTTGTGGGTATATGTAATGGGGTTAATCACTCAGTGTCTTACATATCTTTCTGGAATTGTTTATGCAAACTGGACATAGTGGCACACACCTGTAATCCCAGCACTTGAGAAGCTGAAGCAGGATTGCTCTGAGTTTGAGGCTAGCCTATGTTACATAGTGAACTCAAGGCCAGCCTGAGATACATGGCAAGATCGTGTCTCAAAAAACAAAACAAAACAAAACAAAAAAAAAAAACCCAAGTTTTTTCTTATGCATATACAAGTAAATTATAAAATATGTTACACAGTAGCACTAATTTCAAACAGCAAATGAAAAATTACATAAAATTGATCTATAGTTTATAGATATACGTATTTTGGCAGTGCTTATATGTATGGTAAAAAATTTGATTCCGAGACATCAAAAATGTTATGTTCTTTTCTATAGTACTTAATCGCCAATATTAAACAATTCAGAGGAACATTTGATATGGCATTATGATTAATATCTAATATCAAGACTTATTTGTTCTATGGTGAATTTTTTTACAAAGCCTAATATCCCATTCTTTTACTCAATATTTTAAAAATCAGTAATATTTTTAAATCAATGCCACTTCTTTTGCCACTATCCAATTTAATGACTTTTAGAAAGTACATATAGACATATGATTATGATAACCGAGGTTTTGGTTCCTTGTATCAACACTACTCATTTCTCCAGTTCCATCTTCAAAAAGTATAGCTGATACAGAAATCAGTAACTAGGGTTTTCATTATTATGATTATGAATAACAGGTGAACTGTTTCCTTTTAATTTTTCATAGAAAATAGCCAGAACTGGGTGTGGAAGTGCACTCCAGTAATCCCAGCACCTGGGAAGCTGAGGCAGGAGAGGTTTTGCAAGTTCGAAACCAGCCTGGTTACATAATGACTTCATGGTCATCCTGGACTACATAGCAAGACCATGTCTCAAAAAAAAAAAAAAAAAAAAAAAGCTGGACATGATGGCACACACCTGGAATCCCAGCACTTGGGAAGATGAGGCAGGAGAATTGAAACCCTACCACGTACACACACACACACACACACACACACACACACACACACACGCACGCGTACCCTTTAATGAATGCTCTCTCAAGAGAGAGCCTAGCGGCGCTCTACTGCTGAAATCTATTGTGATCTTGGGAAACCAACTTTGCCTGAGTCTCGTCTCTTTTCTCATTTCTAGAATAAAGGTTCAATCCTCAGAACTGAAATACATAATATCTATGTTCCCCACAAAATTCTTGTAGGAAGCAAAATAAGATAGTGAACATGAAAGCCCTTATGTTGGCCTCGAACTCACGGTGATCCTTCTGCCTCAACCTCTTGAGTGCTCGGATTACAGGTGTGTATCACCACACCTGGATGAACAAATTTGAGAATTTTTTTACTTGAACTCATCAAAAATGTAGAGGTCCATATTGCTATGCCACTATTTTAAATAAGGGTTTAATTTAAAGTCATTTGACTTAACTGATTTCACATAAATTAGTTAAGATTTTTTTTGTGAGGGTGTTGGTGAAAGAAGGCAAAATAATTATTTCACTATTTTTTAAATTGAAAATAAGGATTCAGTCCGCATTCTTCTCCTAATTGAATAATTCGAGGTCAATCTTTTTATGTCTGGTGTAGCCATTTTCTCTGTATAGAAGATACCGAAGCTTATGAATAACATTTATTTATTTACACTATGCATACAATTTATTTGGATATATAACAATCTGTAAAGTAAGCTTGTACTTCTGGAAAATTTTCACCTACCTACCCACTCTGATTTTGTTTCTTAAAAAAAGTGCAGATTATTTTCACGGCTATACATTGTTCCCCCAGGGGTGTAGAGCACTAGAGTAATTGGTTTCCTGAAGACACAGGAGACCAGAAAGTGGGAATGTAACGCGTGTCAGCTCCGATTATAAAATCAAACCAATCAGAAAACAATCAGAAATTGACACGAATTAACACTTCAATCAGTATAGGAAAGTAATGTACATGGAGAAGGATTTGCACATCCAATTACTTAAAATTCTCCTCCACCATCCGTCATTCCCACAGCTGCGTAGTTGCCCTTATTGCCTCGTGTCTGGCGGACTCCCGGCATGCCTTGCGCAGTTTTGGCGGGAAAAGTGACCTCCTCCAGGGGTCAAAGGCCACAGTTGCGCCAGCCACCGGCGACCGTTGAAGGAAGGCGCATGCGCTTCAGGGAAATAGCGTGCGGTGGAGTGCAGTTTGCCTCGTCGCCGGCTCTGCCTCATACTTTACGTAATGTATTTGGGTTATTAGTTTTGGGTTATTATTTCTGCCTTTTACATTTTAATCTTTTTCTGTTGCCTCCTGACCACTCTTAACTTTCTTATGGGCAAGATATTTGAGGAAAAAATGTAGACTGACTGACTTTTCACAAGACTTCCTGAGATGGGATTAGTCGGGTCGGCTGGCCTAAAATTTATCGGGATAAATTTAAATGCATCCAATAACTAGACCCTTCTATGAAGTTTGATTATGTTTGCTAAAGAAATTAAATTGGGACCAAATAGATTGAAACATCAGGAAATCAGGGGTGGTTTTTTTTGTTTTTTGTTTTTTTCCTTTTTTTCGGTACCGGGGATCGAACTCGAACGACTGCGTGCTTTCAAGGCAGGCATTTATGCCGCTGAGCTAAATCCCCAGCCCCTAGGAAATCAGTTTTTAACATTCAGGTTATAAAGTTTTGGAATAATGTATGTTCTGTTTATACATTTTTTTTTTAAATAGCTGTACCACTGACAGTATCTAGAACCTTGGCAGAGGAAAGTCGCCCAATTTGGATTCTTTGACATTGACCATTTTCAAATTAAAAGTTCTTTTTACAGTGTGTTGTAGTGTCACGCACTTTCAATTCCACCTTCTCGGGAGGCTGAGGCAAAAAAACCTCTAGTTCCAGACAAGCTGGAAATCTCAAAATTGCGGGGGAAGGACTGGAGTACCCCTTTAGCTCAGGAGTATGGAGCTTCACTCTGTCTTCAAAGAAATATTTTTAAATCTATTTTCTTGGGCAGGGGTTCTATAGCCTTGTGGTTGAACATATGCTTAGCATGCAGAAGGTCCTGTATTCAATCACCAACACCCTCACAAAAAAAATCTTAACTAATTTATGTGAAATCAGTTGTCAAATGACTTTAAATTAAACCCTTAATTCAAAATAGTGGCATAGCAATATGGACCTCTACATTTTTGATGAGTTCAAGTAAAAAAATTCTCAAATTTGTTCATCCAGGTGTGGTGATACACACCTGTAATCCGAGCACTCAAGAGGTTGAGGCAGAAGGATCACCGTGAGTTCGAGGCCAACATAAGCTACATGGTGAGACCCTGTATCAAAAACCAAAAATAATAATAATTATTATAATAATAAATTCAAGGAAATCTTTTTTTAAAATTCAGACATAATTCTGACTTTAATGAACTAGAATGTTATATTTTTTTAAAGATCTAAAGTTAAAGCTTGTATTTGTCATAAGGTTTGATAAAAGAAAACACTTTATCGGAAGAAGATGGCCACTGCACAGTTGCAGAGGACTTCCATGGTATGATTTCTTGTATTTAATATGTGTAAATTTATGTGATTTTAATATTTCTTAAAGTGTCAATTATTACTTATTGATTTTTTTTATTTGGAACCGAGGATCAAACTCACAACTTCACATTTACCAAGCAAGTAATTGAGCTGCTGAGCTAAATTCCCAGGCCCATCAATTATATTTTTGAGAGTTGGAGTCAGTTGTTTATTTAATGATAACACAAACTTCGTGTTTTAAGAAAAAGTATTTGTTAAATTTTTAATGAATAGAGAAGTCTGTTGGATGTTTGGAATACTACATTAAATTGCAGTTCCAAATTTAATTTACATTAGGTATTAATATTGTTCCATTGCGGGGGCTGGGGATTTAGCTCAGCGGCATAAGCACCTGCCTTGCAAGCAGGCAGTTGCGAGTTCAATCCCTGGTATCGATTAACAAAAAAAAAAAAAAAAAAAAAAAAAAAATATATTGTTCCATTGCTTGGATGAAGTTATTAGCAGTGTACCTTTGAAAAACATTCAAGATTCAGAGATAGATAAAATTGTGGTGTTTGATCTTGCATTACAATTCGCCTGTATTAAACCTAGCCAGTGATGAATCAGGTGTAGTGGCACACACTGTAATTCCAGCACTTGGCAGACTGAGGCTGGAAGATATCACTAGTTCAAGGCCAGCCTGAACTACATAATGAGATCTTGACTCAAGAAAAAACAAACAAAATTTCCTTGTCAGTAATTAAAGAGAAAATCAGTGTTATCTGTCCATTTTTTATGTATTTATAGTTAATCTGTGAGATTCTTAAGCACTTTTTGCACATAACCTTTATGCTATTACTCCTTAGAAACACCTTCACATTTTACAAAACATTATGCTTTTCTGGGAATTACTAACCACTAGGGAAAGAATTCTTTGGGAGAGTGCCATGTCTATGAAAAAATGGATCTACTTTGAGTCCAGGGAAATTTTATTTTTAATAAACATAAATAGAATTTTTAATTTCTTTTGAATTTCAGAGTGCATTAGTATTTCCCAGTAAGATATCAACTGAGCAGCAGTCTTTGGTGTTAGTGAAGAGGCTCCTAGCAGTTTCGGTATCCTGCATCACGTATTTGAGAGGAATATTTCCAGAATGTGCTTATGGAACAAGATATCTAGATGGTAAAGTAATGTTTAAGATTTTTGGGAGGTTTTTTTTTTGCTTGCTTTAAAACTAAGTGAGCTTGGTTTTTAATAGCAACTTTATCAATAGTATACACTATTAATACTATAATGTTGATATATTTCTGGCAGTCCATTCATTTAAAATGTATAGTTCAATGATTTTTAGTATGTTCAGAGTTGTGCAACTACCACTGCAGTCAATTTTTTACATTTCCATCACCCTAAAAGGAAACTGTATATCACTTAGGTCACCATTCATTCCCCCCTAACCTTCCCAGTCCTAGGCAAACACCAGTCTACTTTCTGTTTCTATACATTTAGTTATTCTGGACATTTTATGTAAATGGAATTGTATAGGATATGAGGATTTTTTTGACTGGCTTCTTTTACATAGCATAAAGTTGTCAGGGTTCCTTCATGTTAGAACATGGATTAGTACTCCATCTTTTTTTCCATTTTTTTGAGACAGGGTCTTGTTTTATAGTGAAGAGTGGTCTTGAACGCACTATGTAGCCCAAGCTGGCCCTGAAGTCACAATGATCCTCCTGCTTCAGCCTCCCAAGTGCTGACATTACAGACATGCACCACCATGTCTGGCTCCATCAGTTTTCATCATGTAATAATGTTCTGTTGTGTGACTGTACAGTTGATGAGCATTTGGGCTGTTTCTACTTTTTTATATATATAATTTCACATTTGTGCTTAAGTTTTTGGGCATCTAAAAATTTTTTTGAGATGCTAGGGATTGCATCCTAGGTAAGCACTACCAGTGAGTTACATCTTTAAGTCTACATTTTTAAAAAAAGATATTTGGCTGAATGTACTGGCACAGGTTTGTAATCCTAGCACTTTGGGAGGCTGAGGCAGGAGAACTGCATTGAGCCTAGGCAATGTAGTGACTTAGAAAGATCTTGTCTCAAAATAAATTTTTTACACTGTATATCAGTGTAAAGGGCCCTGTGTTTAATCTCTAATACTACTAAATAAAGAAATACAAAAAATTTAATACTTTTGGATTTACTTATTGTAAATTGTCTCTCAAGTATAATTTTACCTGACATTATGCTTTTAATGATTAAACAGATACAAATATTCTGTTATTTATGACTTTGTACAGTGGCAGTATTTGTTTTTGGACTGTTTTAAGGAAATAATGTTATACAGCTGGTTTATACTATAATACTTTATTTTTCAGCATATAATATATGCATAATACTACATGAACTATGTACTGGGTAATTTGCTAAGTACCATGTTTTGGACACTGTCTTGTTAATTCAAATTGAAATAAGGAATTTGAGGTGGAAAGATGCTCTCTGTCTTTTCCATGGCATAACATGTTGCTTCTTTGCAGGGTTCTTTGAAAGCCAATTAACTTCTTGGCAATTATAAGTATTTCACTGGAGTAACAGAAATATTCTAAGACTCTTGTATAACAATAGTATAAAATCATTATGTCTAATGTTGTGTATCCTATAATTTTTTAAGTGAAAATTTTTCTACTTATCAATATAATTCTATTATGATTTTTTTAAAAAGGATAAAAAGACTTTCCATATAACCTTTCTTTCTTTCATTACATTAATAATACCAATCATTTGGAAGTTCCTCACATTAACAATATACCTACAATACAAAGATGAAGATAAAATCTTTATTTAAAATTTCTAATTGTTTACTATTCTTAAATAACTCCATATCTGTTTCATAATTTTTTTTAGATCTTTGTGTCAAAATTCTGAGAGAAGATAAAAATTGTCCAGGATCTACACAGTTAGTGAAGTGGTAAGAAAAAATACTTAAAAATAGAAGATTATATTTCTAAATCAAATAATTTTATACATTAGATGCTTTTCAACATTTAACCAAGTTTTAGTGATTTACCATTTAGGACTAGACACTAGTCTTGTAGATCTTTGAATTTTTGTATTAAAATTTTCCTTTACTTCATCCTCCTATCCCTTATGTCATTTTGTATTTCTGCCATGTTGCTTGTTTCTCTTTTCTTCTTTTTTCTGCTGTACTAGGGATTAAACCCCAGAGTACTCTACCACTGAACTATATTCCCAGCCTTTTTAATTTTTTATTTTGAGACAGGATTTTGTTAAATCACTAAACTGTCAATTTGGGCTCAAACTCATGATCTTCCTGCCTTAACCTCCTAGAGTGCTAGGATTATAGGCTTGCATCATCATCCCAACATGTTTCTTTTTTCCGTTTTCCTCTTTCTCTACCCCGCTCTCTCTTTCCCTTCCTTCCCTCCCCCCCCCTTATTCCTTTTTTGCCTTTCTCTATCCCCCTTCCCCTTTCTGCTTCTGTTTTTATAATGCTGATTATTGAACCTAGGGCCTTCACTGTACAAGGCAAACACTGTACCACTGAGACACATGGTTTGTCTTGTTTTCTAAGTAGTTAATAAGAAAAATGCTTTAGTAAGAAATTTTAGTATTATTTGGTAATGAGATTTATGAAAACTTTTCTGGAATCCATTCAATTTGAAAATGAATCTTTGTAGGCAGGGAATTTAGCTCAGCAACACAAACCCCTGCCTGGCAAATGCAAAGTCATGAGTTTGATCCCCAATACAAAAAAAAAGAATCTTGGCTGGAATGGTGGTGCATGCCTATAATCCCAGCACTTTGGAGACAGGAGGATTGCTGTGATTTAGAGGCCAGTGTGGACTACAAAGTGAGTTCAAAGCCAGTCTGAACTGCAAAGCAAAGCCTTGTCTCAAAAAGACAAATAATAAAAATGAATCTGATTTTTTTTAGGATGCTAGGATGCTATGATGCCTTACAGAAAAAATATGTAAGTTACTTTCTTTTTTTCTGTACCTTATATTCTGTAAGCCTGATTAACATGCAGTAAAGCATTTAAACTAACATGGAGATCAGCCAGTTTGAGTTACTGAGAAGTCTAAACATTTGAATATTTTAAAGACTAATCTTCCACTCACTTAAAGCTATTGGAGTCAGTACTAAATAAACTTGCCAAGCTAAGTATGGCTTTTTTTCTTGGGCAGGGAGTGGTTGGATTTTTGAGACAGGATCTCACCATGAGGCTCAGGCTGCCCTTGAACTCACTGTGTAATACAGGCTAGCCTCAAACTCACCATGCTAGTTTTTGTTAATGTTCATTGGGTTTTTTTCAGGGGGAAGGGCTTTTGCTCACTGATATTGATAGCATGTATAGATTTTTAAAAATAATGAATCAGAAAGTCTTTAAAAATAGTTCATCCATCCAGACATGGTGGTACACACCCATAATCTCAGCATTGGGAAGGCTGAGGGTCACCACAAATTCAAGACCAACCTGAGCTACATATGGAGACCCCTGTCTCAAAAAAAAAAAAGCTTCATCTATTAGTTTTACATGCCTTCTCTAATCTTCTTTGTATTATAATTTAATAAATTATTTTTAATTGGGATTCAAAAATAAATTTCTATGTAGTCTAGGTTAAATTTTCACAAATTCTGAATTAGTGAAACAAAGAAGGTTTTATAATAGACTATGAGCCTTTTTCATACTTAGTATAATTTCATACATGTATAAAGAAGTCCAGTTCTAGCAAAGTTGTAAAGATGAATCTTTATCCATGGTTAATCTTCCTTATTTGAAGGCATAGTACATACTGAATGCCTGCTATGTGCTTAGCACATACTCCAGGTAGGAGCAGGGTATGTTAACAGTGATCAGTAGAACAAAGGAAGTCCCATCTAATGGAAGAAAATAGTCAGTAAAACAATTGGATATTTCCTAGTAGTTTTAGACACTGTTAAAATTTGTAGGAAAACTATGTGATATATGCAATGCTGGGTTAATTTTACATGAGATAGTCAAAGCAGATTCTCTAAAAAGATGATATTTAAGCTGAAACCTGAGTGAGAAGAAACCAACCAGTCATTCTTTCCCAGTTTAGGGAAAGAGTATTCCCAGTAGAGCATCAGAATTGTAGAGAATTTAGAGTTCTGGAAACCTAACTAAGGCTAATACACTTTGAAAGCAGTTGTACAGGTGTGCAACGGCATCAGGTGAGCATGGGGAGATAGGCAGTGCCAGAATATTCAATGCTGTGTAGGTAAGGAGCTTGGATTTTATTTCAGGTGCAAAGAAAAACCATTTGAAGGTTATAAGTAGAAAACCATTTTATTTATGTTTTAAATGTTTTTTGTTTTTGGTACCAAGGGATCAAACTCACAACCTTGTGCTTGCCAGGCAGGCCTTTATACCACTGAGATAAATCCCCAGCCCTTATGTTTTAAAATTTTTAAAAATCACTTTCACTGCTATATAGAGAATGTACTATGTAAGCAAAATAAGATTGAAAATAAGAGTACTAATACTTAAGTCATTACTCTCAAGTCCTGAAAAGTAGTGATAGGTTAAGAGCATGATGGTAGAGGTGAGATTCAGGATAGACTTGAGAGTAGAAATGATTGGATTTGTTGACATGCTGGTTGTGGGATTTAAGGGGAAAAAATTGAACTTCAAGGATGACTCCAGATTTTTGGCAGGTCACTTAAGTGAATGATTTTCTGTTCCTCTAGTCTCAAAGCCTCTTTTGTTAAATACATAGTGTCCTGTGCACCTTACTTTTTCTTCTTTCAAAACCATGTCTAATATTGGTAATACTTAATGTGTTACTTCACAATATGTTTTTCTCAAAATTGTTAATAATGCTCTTTATTTAAGTCAAAGAAATTGCTGTTGTGAATTTCAGACATTACCAAGTCAAGGATAATTGATATTTGGAGGAATAGGAAATTATATGTGAAGTATTGACTATAGGCAATATTGAAAAGTCTGTTCTCTATAATGATTATTTGTTATTAAGAATAAATGTTGAGAATGGACCAAGAATTCTTTTTGGAGGGGTACAAGGGATTGAACCAAGGGCTCTATATATGCTAGGCATGTGTTCTGTCATTGAGCTACATCTATACCCCCTAAAGTAGGACAAATAATTTTTTGACTCATAGTGAAAAACTTTTATAGAATACAAGATTTTTGTTCTTTGTTTTATTTCAGCTAAGGATGGTCGTTCTAGCTGTAAGTACTTTTAAAACTGTATGAATTTCTAAAGACTATTAAATTCAGCCTTTCTTCATTAAATGATAATGAAACTATCAATTGATTATGTCACTATTCAAACAGTTGATCTATTCAATGGGGAAAAGATAGTAATCTAATATCTTGGGAGGTTACTTTATTTTTGTTTTGTTTTGCTGAATTTACTTAATACATTAGTCTAGAAATTCCAATTTAGTTCTTCCCGAGTTCTTAACCTTAGTAACTCAATTATAAATTATTTTAAATAGGTGTACACCAATCCAGAAGACCCTCAGGTAAGAGTGGTTGAATTAGCAAAGAAATAATGCTGTTAATATCTAAAAATAAAAATGTATTGATATTGCATTCTTTCTTTTTTTTTTTTTTTTTTTTTTGTCTTTTTCCTTTTTATCGGTACTAGGGATCAAACTCACGACTGCCTGCTTCCAAGGCAGGCGCTTATGCCGCTGAGCTAAATCCCCAGCCCCAATATTGCATTCTTTTTAATTGTGCTTTTAATCAGTGTATTTTCACTTGATTTCATGTTTAAGTCTTGTAAAACGATTCTGAGTATAATTATATTATTATATTTAAGCAGATAAATTCACTTACTATATGAGATTACATAACTGATTTTAACTCACAAAATATACAGGCTATTAGAAATAAATTGTCTAACTGTGGTTTGTTAAAATATTCTTTATCCAGAATTATGAAAGGACTTGAGTTTAGGAAAAATAACCTCATTCTTAAACGTTAAATTTTCATTCCAATCCAGATACCTATACTTGTTCACCTGACAATTAACAAGTAAGGGTGGATAAGAAAAAAAGGGAAAACCAGAAGGCAAGAAACAGGGCGGGGGGGATATATTGTGTGCTTGTACTCTATTAGGCTACTTTCTTAGGGGCTATAAATCTGTTATCACTAATTTATTCACCACAGCCTTTATGAAGCAATTACCATTGTCCTACCCATTTTCCAGATTAGAAAATCTAGACACAAGGTTTTTTGTCTACGACAAAAAATAGAAATAGCCAGGCAGAATGGCACATGCCTGTAATCCCAGCACTCAGGGCAGGGCTGAGGCAGGAAGATTCCTTGAGTTTGAGGCTAGCCTGAGCTACAAAGTGAGTTCAAGGCCTATCTAAACCAGATCATGAAACCCTGCCTAAAAAAAAAAAGTAACAGAAGCAGGTTCTGCTAAGCTAAGTAGCTTCTTTGGTAGAAGTAGCAGAATCAGGATTTCAACCGAGGAAGCCATGTCACCATTTAGGTTCTTAACCATTATGTTACATGTTGTGCAATATAATATTTCACTCAATTATGAAGAAGCAGATTTAAACTGATTTTAAAGATAGAAAGAAACTGATTCTATCCCCACATGAGCACTAATATGTAAAAGAAAGCAAAGTATTCTAGGTTTCAGGAGGGCTAGAAATGTGTCCTCTCTTTGATACTCATACCAGCAAATATATGACCAAGTGACAAAGTTGCTTATTTGAGCAAAGGCATGCATGCAAGAAACAGAGTTAAGGTGTTGCATGCCTGAAATCCCAGCATTTAAGAGGCCCAGGCAGGATGATTACTGTGAGTTCCAAACCAGCAAAATGAGTTCAAGGCCAGCCTGAACTGCATCATGAAACCCTGTCTCAAAAAGAAAAAAACAAAAGAGAGGAAGTCAGAGTCAAACTGATTTTTACAACAGATCCATTCTTGAGATTACCCATTAAACCATAAATCTGTGAATAGATCAATCTGTTCATGAGGGCAGAGACTTCATGATCTAATCCCTTCTTAAAGGTTATTCCTGTTAACAAGTAAGGGTGGATAAGAAAAAAAGGGAAATTAATGTAATTTAAGTGTAATGTAATTTCACTGCTTACTATCTATAATGGGAATTAAATTTCAAGTTGAATTTTGGTAAGAACATTGAAACAATTTCAGTGTCTTAATACGTTTTATGCTGCTATAACAGATACCTGAAATTAGGAAATGTGTTATTTCCTAGACTTCTCGATGCTGGGAGGTCTGTGATCTAGAGGGTGTTGGCATCTGATGAGGGTCTTCTTGCTGCATCATGGGGGAATGTGGTAGTCAACTTCATCCTTTTATCAGGAACCCACACCACCATTACTGACTCATTCCCATGATACCAGCATAATCCAGTTATGTCCTCTTGACCTAATTACTTCTTGAAGGTACCACTCTAAACACTGTTGCATTGGAGATTTTCAACACATGAATTTTGGGGGAGACATTCAAGCCATATCACTTAATCATTCTTCTGAGATCTGCTGTTTTCCTCACCTGCCTACTAAGAAGTTCTTAACATTTTATACATACAACATGCTTTGCAATGAGTGAGAGAATAAAGATCTCTCTGTAATTAAATTCTAAAGCCCAGATTATGGGAATTAGTTGAGATTTATAAGTATCATTGGGCCAATAGGAATTAACATGTCAGAAAAACTATTGACAAAATGTTGACTCATAGAAAAACAGTAAAATAACTACTTACCAGGAAGAATGATATATTAATTACATAATTGCAATGTTTTTTTAAGACAATTTCAGAATGTTACCAGTTTAAATTCAAGTACACAAAAAATGGACCAATCATGGACTTTATAAGGTATTGTTTTATAATTTTCTGTTCGTATTATATACACACACACACACACACACACACACACACACACACTACCATTTATTCATTAATGCTATGTTGTTAAACTTCAGTATTAATTGTGAAGAGCTGGGCACTGGGGATTGAACCTAAAACCTTACATATAATAGGCAAGTACATTATCATTGAGCTACATGCTCAATCCTACTTTATTTTTTGAGAGTCTTGGTAAGCTGTGTAGCTGACCTTCAACTTGTGATCCTCTTGTCTCAGCTTCCTAAGTAGCTGGTTTTACAGCTGTGTAACACCATGCCTAGCCAACTTCACGATTAATTGTGAAATTTCTCAGACCTCCAATCAGCCATCAAGATGTAGCTGTCAAAATAGAGTAGTGCCTTGGAGTAACTACAAAATACGATTCTGTGGCTAATTATATACTATTTTAATTGTGGAAAAGGACTTAAGTGATTAGAAACAAAAACCTATTATTTGGTTTTTTTAAAACACCTTATATAAGTACATTAATTTTATTTCTATAAAATTAAATTTGGGTTTATAATATAATAATGTATATTAATAGTGATACTAAATGTTTATAGTGGTAATTTAAAGCACAATTTATGGTAACAATTTAATGCTGTAATAAGAATCTCAAAGTGTAACATTTAGGTATTAAAAGTGACTTTTTGGACTGGGGATATAGCTCATTGGCACAGTGCCTACCTGGCAAGTGCAAGGTAATGAGTTCAATTCTCGGTACAAAAAAAAAAAAGATTAAAAAAAGGTAATCATTTTTTATGAAAGAAATTGTCTGATTCTCTTCTAGTAAAAATCAAAGCAGTGAATCTAGCAGGTCATCTGTTGACACCAAGAAAGCAAGTATTCTCCTCATTCGAAAGATTTATATTCTAATGCAAAATCTGGGACCTTTACCAAATGATGTTTGTTTAACCATGAAACTTTTTTACTATGATGAAGGTACTGTTTGCAATATATCTTATTTTAATTGATACTTGTGTTTTTATTATTGAAACAGTTGATTTCCAGTCCAAATGTTTGACAGATTTCATTCATTTTGTGTTCCTTACATAAAATGCTTTATGTTGTAGCTACTGCTAGAGCTTGAGTCTTCGGGAGAGATTCTGGTGTGGGTTTTCACAAATTGATCAGTAAATTCCTGGTAAGGAACTTGGTGAACAGTTTCTCTCCTTCATGGGTAAGGAGAAGTGGTACATTTCCTCCAGAGACTTGATCTTCATGTCCTTGAACAGCCATCCCAGTTTGGTCATAGGAATCTTATTGTCCTCAGCATTAATGCTGCAAATGCTGTGGCCTTGGCCTGGGCCCCCAGGGCCTCCAAGTCCCTCTGCTGCACTGGTGGCGTCATCTGCCATTTGGTGTTTCCCAGATGAAAAAGCCCAAATATTTTTTGTTTAGCACTTTTAAAGGATCATGTATTTGAAAAAAAAGAAAGATTTGCAAGACTTTTAAAAGATATATTTCTGTGCTGGAGAACATTTCCATGTGAAGTATAACTTTACTCATAATTAAAAAACACCAATTTTCACTTTTCAGTTTGGTGAAACTTGTAAATTTATTGGCAGGATATAGAAAGGCAGCCCCCATTATATACTTCTGAGTATTCAATCCAGGGTACTGTACGACTGAGATATACCCAGCCCCTTTTTTAATTTTCAAATTAGAGACACGGTCTCACTAAGTTGCCCAGGCATGACCTGAATTTGAGATCCTCCTGTCTCAGCTTCCCAGAGTGCTGAGATTACAGGCATGTGCCACTGCTCCCAGCTATATTCTTGATGGAATATGTATAAGTGCAACTTTTTATTTTTTCCCCAAATCCATTTTATTTGAAGGATAAAAGAAAAATTAAAATTTCAAAACACATCATTCGGGGGCAACATTGAGCATTGTCATCCACAAATCATTCACCCAGAGTATAAGACATCTACATTCAAGTATCCAAAAAATACCAACACAAATCTTTCTCTTCAATGAACTCAGAGAAATCAGTAGTATAACTATCTTAACTATTTTTATATACATATATATATACACACATATACATATATGGTTTCTTTCAGTTTCTCACTAGTGAGACAATACAAAGTTTACACATAGAAGTCTTATTTATTTCATTAATGAATATAGTCTCAAGTTGCATCCCTTTACTTATAGCCTCCAGTTTATCCACCTTTATGGCTGAGTAGTACTCCACTGTATAAAAATACCATATCTTTTTATCCATTCCTTAGTCAATGAACATTTAGGTTGTTTCCAAGATATTACAGTTGTGCTGCTATAAACATGGGTGCACATATATTGCTGTGGTATGATGTTTTTAATATTTTTTGAAAGATTCCCAGAAGGGGGATAGCTGGGTTGAATGGAACCTATAATCCCTAGTTTTTTGTGGAATCTCCACATTGATTTCCACAGTGATTGCACCAGTCTGCATTCCCACCAACAGTGAAGAGGGGTTCCTGGCTCCTCCAGCATTTGTCACTTCTTGATTTCTTGGTAGTAGCCATTCTTTCTGGGGTGAGGTGGAATCTCAGTGTTGTTTTAATTTGCATCTCTCAAATGACCAGTGATGTTGAACATTTTTTCACATATTTATTTGCTGTTTGTATTTCTTCATCTGAGAAGTGTATATGTACCTCAGATGCCCATTTTTGGATTATGTCTTTAAATCTGGGAGGACCAATTTTTTTGAGTTCTTTATATATGTTCTCGATTTTAATCCTTTGAGGAACAGCTGGCAAACATTTTCTCCCACGTTATGGGTTGTCTCTTCACTCTGTTGGTAGTGTCTTTTGTTGTGAAAACGCTTTTCAGTAGGGTGAGATCCCAGTTGTTGATTCTTTGTCAATGTGATCAGGGTTTTGCTCATAAAGTCTTTGCCTATCCCAATGTTTTCAGCAGTTTTATCTACTCGTCTTCCAGCAGATTTAATGTTTCTGTTTTAATATTAAGATCTTGGATCCATTCTGATTTTAGATTAGTACATTGGAAACTGGACCCATAGAAAATTATGAGTCCAGTTTTTAATCTTTGGCATGTGTAGAGCCAGTTTTTCTGGGGCCATTTATTAAAGAGGCTATCACTCTCCCAGTAAATATATTTGGCACTTTGTCAAAGATAAGGTGGTTTAGTGTGTCTGCAATTGTTTATGCATCTCCTAATCTATTCCATTGATCTTTGGGTCTTTTTTTTTTTGCCAATACCACACTATTTTTATGACAATAGCTTTATAGTATAATTTCAAGTCAGGGATTGTGATGCCCTCTATCTTTGTTTGTGGCCCTGGATTGCCTTTGCTATTCTAGGTCTCTTCTAGTTCCAGATGAAATTTAGGATTGTCTTCTCTGTGAAATATGCTATTGGAATTTTGATTGGGATTGCATTGAATCTGTATAACAGTTGTGGAAGTATGGCCATTTTCACTATATTGGTTCTTTTTACCCAAGAGCATGGGATATCTTTCCATTTTCTAATATCCTCTTCAGTCTTCTTTTTCAGAGTATTGTTCTTTTCAATGTAGAGGTCTTTTACATCTTTTGCTAGACTGATTCTAGCTATTTCTTTTCTTTATTTGGGGGGAGGGTTGTAAAAGGTATTGTTTCCCTGATTTTTATCAACGAGCTTGTATTCGTGTACAGGAAGACTATTGATTTTTGAGTGTTGACTTTGTTTCCAGCTACATTATTAAATTCGCTTATTAAATCTAGAAGTCTTTTGGTGGAGTTTGTGGGGTCTCCTAAGTAGAATATCATGTCATCTGCAAATAATGATAGTTTAACATCTTCCTTTCCTATCTTTGCCCCTTGTATTTCTTTTTCTTGTCTTATTGCCCCAGCTAAAGTTTTCAGGACTATATTGAATAAGAATAGACATAGTAGACATCCTTGTCTTGTTCCTGATTGTAGAGTGAAAGCTTTCAGTTTTTGTCCATTTAGTATGATGTTGGCTGTAGGTTTATCATAGATGGCTTTTATCAAATTGAGATAAAAGTCCAATTTTCTTTGGGTTTTTATCATGAATGGGTACTGGACTTTATCAAAAGTTTTTCTACATATAAGATAATCATATGATGTTGGCTATTGGTTTGTCATAGATAGCTTTTATCAGATTGAGATAAAGACAATCTATTCCAATTTCTGTAGGATTTTTTTTATCATCCTTGGCTCTGTTAATATTTTGTATTACATATATGGAATTTTTATTTTTTATTTTCAAGAAAATAAAACCAAATGAAACAAAACAGAATAGAGTCAATCAAAACAAAAGGATGAACATGCCACATGACTTAAAAACAAAATACAAGGAGATCAACAATGACTACCATAATGCCTCCTGTTATCTTCAAAAGAATTTCGCATACCATCAGGCATAATAGAATCAAACAAAATAGAACAGAATAAAACCAATAAAAACGAAACAATGGAAACAGTATAGGACTTCAAAAGAAGATAATAGTAAACCACAATATGTATCATAATGCATCTTCTTGTCTTCAAAGTAGTTGCCTATACCATCAGACAATGATATCAAACAAAACAACATACAATAAAATCAGTCAAATGAAAACAATACAGGGCTTCAAATCAAGCTAATAGGAAATAAAAAATGGTTACCATATGTATTTTGTTATCTTTGAAATAGCTGTTCATGCCATCAAATATAATACGATTAGACAAACTGAAACAGAATAAAACCAAACTAAACAGAACAATGAAAACAATATGGATTTCAAATCATGATAATAGATGAATAGTGGCCACTGCCTTCCCTTTTTAGACAGTTGTTTTAGGGAAGTTTGTTTTCTTCCCTTTCACTTTCACAGAATATATTATACATTTTGGATCCTACTAATTCCTTTAGTTTTTATACTAGAGAGGCAACACAATATTCACCTAAGTGACTCTGAATCTTTTTACCCCTGAGCATGATCTCAAGTTGTATCCATTTACCTACAAGAGCCTCAAGGTTATCTTTCTTTATAGCTGAGTAGCTTTCCATTGTGTAAAAATGCCATGGCTTTCTAACCAGTTTGCAGCTGATGGGCGAGCTACCCCCACCCTTTTTTTCTGGTTCCCTGTCGCGTAGATCATTGTTTTCTGACCTTTAACTTTCAGTCTATAAAAACTCTTTTGGGTTAAATGTATAAAGCATATTGATGGACCCTATCTTCTGATCACTCTGCCTGTGTTACTTTTTATTGGTGAATTGAGGCTATCTGTATTAGTGATTATGGCCAACATTCTCTGCCTCATCTCTGCCATGCTATTTTCCTGCTGTTGGTTGCCTACTTTTTCCCTTCATCCCATTGTCCTCACCGCTTGGTGAGCCCCCTCTGCCACTGTTCCTGAAACCATGGTCTTTTTTTTTTCTTTAGAATGCCCTTCAATATTTTTTTGTAGGGTTGGTTTGGTGGTTGTGAATTTTTCAGTTGTTAGTTTTTCAGGGTACATCAGTCTGGATTGGAAGTTGTTTTCTTTCAGGATTTGAAACACGTCACCCCAAGCTCTTCTTGATTTAATGATTTGTGTCAAGAAGTCTGTCATAATTCTAATGAGTTTTCCTTTATAGATGATCTGTTTCTTTTCTCTAACAGCTTTTAATATTCTGTTCTTATGTTGATATGTCTGGGTGTTAGTATATTACATTGATGGATTTATCCTACACCCCTGGAATGAATCCCACTTGGTCGTGGTGTACAATCTTCTTGATGATTTGCTGCAGTCTTTTTGTCAATATGTTATTGAGGATTTTTGCATCAATGTTCATTAGGAAGATTGGCCTGTAATTGTTTTTCTTAGTTGGGTTCTTCTCTGGTTTTGGTGTCAGGGTAATACTTGCTTTCAGAAATGCATTTGGAAGTATTGTTTCCTGTTCAATTTCATTAAAGAGTTTGAGAAGTAGTGGTATTAGGGCTTCTCTAAATTTCTTGTAGAATTCAGCAGTGAATTTATCAGGGTTGGGCTTTTCTCTGTTGATAGGTTTTTAATTACATCTTTAATTTCATTGATTGGTATTGGGTTATTCAAGATTTTTGTATCTTCTTAATTCAGCTTTGGTAATTCATATGTATCTAGGAATCTGTCCGTGTCTTTTGTATTTTCCATCTTACTAGAATATAAGTTTTCAACGTAGGTATAGATAATTTTTCTGGATTTTCTGCAGTGTCTGTTGTGATTTTGCCCTTTTTATTCCTAATTGCATGGATTTGAGTCTTTTTTTTTCCTTTTTTGATAAGGTTGGTTAAGGGTTTGTCAATTTTATTTAATCTTTCAAAAAACCAACTTTTCAATTCATTGATTCTTTGTATTATTTTTTAGTCTCCAGTGTGTTAATTTCTGCTCTGATCTTTATAATTGTACGAGCTTTTGGATTCACCTGCTCTTCTTTTTTCTAAAAGTTTGAGGTTCAACATTAAGTTGTTTATATGCATTTACTGCTATAAATTTCCCTAAGACTGCTTTCATTGTGTCTCACAAGCTCCAGTATGTTGTATTGTTGTTATTGTTCAATTATAAAAAAAGTCTATTTTCTTCTTTAATTTCATCTGTCACCATTGGTTGTTCAGTAGGGTGCTATTTAATTTCTAAGTGTTTCAGAGTTCTTGTTGTTTCCTTTGGCATGGATTTCCAATTTCATTGCACTGTGGTCTGATAGTAAGCACGGGATAATTTCAATTCCTTTATATTTACTTAAGCATGTTCTATGAAACAGTATATGGTCTATTTTGAAGAATGTGCTATGTGCAGCTAAGAAGAATGTGTATCCTGATGTAGGGTGGAACACTCATCATATACTAGGTCCAATTATTCAAAAGTTTGATTTAGTTCTAATATTTCATTATTGATTTTTTTAATCTGGTTATTCTGTCTTTTTGTGACAGTGGGGGTTCTTGTTATTTTTTACTTTTAGAGGGTTGGGTACCGGGGATTGAACTCACAAGCTTGCGCTTGCCAGGCAGGTGCTTATGCTGCTGAGCAAATCCCTGGTGGTTCTTGTTATTTTAAAGAGATCTTTCCTTTTTTAATTGCCAGCTGCAATCCTGTCTTCAATGTTTGAAAGTCTTATCTTCAGAAAGTCTCTTTAAGTAGTTTTTCCAGCTTTAGGTCAACTTTTTAATTTCCTGGATATCTCTTTGAATCTGTTTCTTGTAGTATAATTTTTTCCTATGTTGTTCATTCAAAGTTTCCATCATTTTCCTATGCTCCTACTTTTTATTTATTTTTTTAGATATGCTCAGTAATTCTTTCATTATTTGTGATTCCATTTACCTGAGACATTACTTCTGATCTGATTACTTTTATAGTTTCATAAAATTGTTTCTTTACTTCAGTTGCTATCCTTTCCGAGATTTCAGGTGTGTGACTTCCATTTGCTTCCATGACTATATCTCCCAGACTTGTTCTGTGTGGGCTGGAAATCTGAGATTGCCTTTTGTTCTTTCGTCTTGACATTTTCCTGGGTTCCTCCCAACAAACTGGCAGGCACTTCCCACTTTGGCTACCTGTCCGTGATGTAGGGGAATGGGACCAGCACCTGGGTTTCTCTGACCCCAGGTTCCAAGGGAGGTAGCAGGGCAGGGGGCAGGCTTCTCCAGACCTATGAGCCACACTGAGGCTTCCCCCGTGGCCAGGGGTGCATGGTGGCTCAGCTCCTGCTTCTCTCAAACTGCATGTCTTAAACCAAGACTCCCCCACTGGTGTTAGGCACACATACATGTGTTTGTCTGATTTTCCCAGTGGCCACTGGCTACCTGCAGGAAGTAAGCCTTCTGATGGCAGAGGTGGGCACACGGGCAGATCTGGCTACATCTTCCTGCCCACGCTGGCTGCCTGAAGGAAGCAAGGGTTTCCAATGGAGGCCTGCAGGTGCATGGGGCATATCTGACTGTGTCCCCCTTCTTGTGCTGGTTGCCTGCCTGCAGGAAGCAAACCTTCTGATGGTGGCAGCAGCGTGAAGGGGTGGATCTGGCTGCGTCTACTTGCTGGCACTGGCTGCCCACAGGTTTTTAGGTTTTGAGTCTGTTGGAAGATCTTATCTCTTGAGTTTGTTGGATATGAGAAGATGTTGGTTGTTTGGCCTACTCTCTGGTTCTTTGGCACTGTGCCACCATATTTTCTGTGACCTTTAGTCAGTCATGGATTATCAGGACCAACAGCTGTTAAAGCAATTACATCAGTTTTGGCTATAGTGGTACCAATAGCATCAAACACAGCCTAGAAAATAACAAATTGAGCTAACCCTTAATTTGCAACTTTTAACTGTACGAACCAGATTTGTGATTATATAACAAAATGTAAAACCAAATAATTACATGCAATATATGTCTGTAATGTGTCAATTTTGCCCTCGGGTTAAAATTTAAAATTAAGGAGAAAATAGAGAAGTGGAAGAAGAGAAAGAGATTAGACGGTTGGAGAACGAAGAGGGATCAGGGCATCTTGGGAATACTGGTGCAGAAGACTGAAGAAAAAGAGAAATGGGAGAGATAAAAGAAAGGCCAGAACAGATCCACACCCATAAAGAGCTTAGGAACCACATTCACACTCATATAAAAACAATGAAAGAGAAAGAGAGAAGAAAAAAATGAAAAAGAAAAGAAAAAGGAAAGCAAGCAGTCCACTTCCAGAATTCTCTCTGGGTTCACTAGCAGACAGTCTGGAGACAGTCCCAAATCATTCCAGTCTATCCCAGCAAGCCAGTAGTTGTTTTTTGGCTGAGTAGTGAATAATCTCAGCAGGCTTGCCCCAAGACCAGACTCATTGGGCTTGCTGCAGTCCAAGCAGTTTCCACAGGTCTATGCCCAGCTGGGAGCTCTTGGAGGAAGCCAGCAGCAGTTCTGGGTTCTGAGCTCAGCTGGCCAGTCTCCAAAATGGCTCCCAGCTAATCAGTCTCTCCTTGTGGGAGGATTAAGTCCTCTGCACACACTGCCAGCCATGCAGTCCTCTATGTGCATGGCTCCTCTCCACTGCCTTGTCTCTCTGCAGAGGCCTCCAGGGTTGCCATCTGACACCGTCACTATGAGTATGTGTCCCCAGGTTCCAACAGCTCCTCTCAAGCACTGATTACCCTCTCAGGGTGAAGGTGCTATCGACTACTGCCTTCTTCCTTGAAGTCTTTCTTTTCACTCCAAGTGCAGCATTTTAAATCTTAAATTTTAACCCAGATATTATATTGCTAGAAAACAATGTTGAATATACACTTGCCAAAAAAATCATATTTGTAAAACTTTTTATTATAGCATTAGCTATAATGGATGGGTTAAGTTTCCTTTCTTGGGGATTGAGTAAATACATGATGATGCATCAGTATAACAGAATACTATGCAAGTGGTTAAAAAAATGGTGATAAATTGTCCAAGAGATTTTACAAGTTAAGAGTAACTAGGTACAGAATGGCATGATTTCATAAAAGTTTTTTTTTAAGAACATATAGATTTCTCTTCACATATATATGTAACATTATACCTTTTATTACTTGCAAAACACTTTCTAGAACATAAAACAATGACAGTAATAACTATGATTTATCAAATACTTGGTGTATGCCATTTTTGGTTTTGCTTTGCTTTGTTTTGTTTTGAGACAGAATCTTGATATGTGTGGTTCAGTCTGGCCTTGAACACTAGGTGTAGCCCAGGCTGGCCTCAAACTTAGCACAATCCTCCTGATTTAGCTTCCCTAGTACAGGAGTGTACCACCACACCTGGCTGCCAGTTTTGTTTTGAACATTTTACAATTTAATTCAACTTTCACCCACAATAACCCTGTGAGGGTAAATATTACTTTGCCCATTTAACATGGATGCTAAATAATTTGCTGGAGCCAGGTGTGGTGGCACATACCTGTAATTCCAGCACTTAGGAGGCTGAGGTAAGAGGGTTACCCTGAGTCGAGGCCAGCCTGATCTACATAGAGAGTTCAAGAACAGCCTAAACTAAATAGTAAGAAGACTGTCTTGGAAACAACAAAAAATAATAATTTTCTCAACATCACCCAGCCACTGAAGAAAAACAAAGATTACCTTTATTGAATAAAATGGGGACCATGAGGCAGAAGGAGGGCAATTCTTATTTTTCAGTTAATATACTTGTATACTCTGACATTTAATCTGCATGTGTTTTTAAAATAGTTCTTCAGTTTTATAATAGCACAATTTGTACTTGCTTTTTTGCAGTTACACCACCAAATTACCAGCCTCCTGGTTTTAAGGATGGTGATTGTGAAGGAGTCATATTTGAAGGGGAGCCTATGTACTTAAATGTGGGAGAAGTCCCAACACCTTTTCATACCTTTAAAGTAAAAGTGACCACTGAGAAAGAACGAATGGAAAATATCGATTCCTGTATACTGTTACCTAAACAATTAAAAACACCACTTCAGAAAATTCTGGTGGACAAAGATGATGTAGAAGATGAGCAGGAACATTATATAAGTGTGAGTCTATTTAAAGAGTTATAAAATAACTTTGTAACAAATGTTTAATTCTGAGGACCTTAATAACTCTTCTTAATATTTGTGTAAATACTACATTCTAATCATGAACTCAAGGTTGGAAAGGACCTTAAAGTCTAGACTCTTGGTTTTAAAACTTTTTACTTTCGTTGAAACAATATTATACTCAGAGTTTAAAAGCACAGCCATACTTACTGAAGCAAGGAATGGTCCTAGAAAGCTAGCCACAGTTTACCTACCCTCACAGTGGACCCTGAAGAAATCCAAAAGACTGTCGGGCGTAATTTGAGTACCACTGGTCTAGTACAGTTCTCCAACTAATGATGGAATCTGTTGTACACTGCCCTAACAAATGCTTGTTGAGGGGCTGGGGATATAACTCAGTGGCAAAGTGACTCTCAGGCAAGCAAAAGGTCCTGAGTTCAATTCCTGGTACCAAAATAAATAAATAAAATAAACTTTTAAAAAAATGCTTGTATAAGCCGGGCATGGTGGTGCACACCTGTATTCCCAGCACTTATATCTCTTGCTCAAGGCCAGTCTGAACTGCATAGCAAAACCCTGTCTCAAAGACAAAACAAAAAAATGCTTGTACAAGTTGTGCATGAATTTCCTCAGGTTCTGGAAAGTCACATTTCTGAAGCAGCCTGGAAGTTTCTAGAAGGCAGGAAAAATATCTTATTCAATTTATAATCCTGCTGTGTCTAGCACTTAGATTTAATTCGTAGTCTCATTATTAGTAAGTGGGTGAACAGAAGTTTGGTTCCCTCATTCATAGCAAATGTGAAAGTCATTGTTTTAATCTTTCAGCTTTAACATTATATCTCTTTAACCTCACTTTTTTGTTTTATCTTATTCTAAATCAGATAGTCTGTATAGAGAAGTTCACTATTCTGAACTAGGCTCTTTTTTACAAATAGAAAATTCAATATTCAGCCAATTCAGAGAAAACTTTTGCCTAAAATCTAAAGCATAGCCTTTATAAACAAATATAGCTGTGATTTTTTAAAATCAGAAATCGAACTCAGGACTTCATGCCTGGACTTTTGCCAGGCAGGTGCTGTACTACTCAGCTGTATCTCCAGCTTAGCTGGGAGGGGTTTTTTTGGTTTGTTTGTTTGTTTTTGTTTGTTTTTTTTTGTTTTTTTTTTTTGTTCTGCCCCATTCCCTAGCTGGGAGTTTTGTAGGATTGCTTTGTTTTATTTGTGGAGACAGAGTCTCACTATGTAGCCAGGCTAGTCTTGAACTCACAGTGATACTCTTGCCTCAGCCTCCCAAGTGCTGGGATTACAGGTGTGCACCACCACACCCAGCTTGTAACATTCTTTATTTGAATCTCCTTCACATACAAGTAACGTCACGAAGGCAATGATAAATTATAATTTAGATTTATATCTCTTGCTATTTCTACCCTACCATGCCTGAGCCTATCCATCATTAACTTCTGATGAGGAATGCAGCATAATCAGACTGTGTGCTAACACACACAAATTCCAGAACTATAAAAGTGGTAGTTTGTGGGTAGCGGATGTATCTCAGTGACACAGCACTTGCCCAAAATGTACTTGCCCCAGAGTTTGACTCCTAGCACTCCCAAAAAGTAGTGATAAAGAAGTAGTATCAAAAAAGGGGGGGGGCTGGGGATTTAGCTCAGCAGCATAAGCGCCTGCCTTGCAAGCAGGCAGTCGTGAGTTCAAGTTCGATCCCCGGTACCGATAAAAAGGAAAAAGACCAAAAAAAAAAAGAAGAAAAAGAAGTGGTAGCCAGATGTGAATTTGAGGCCAGCATTGGCTACATAGTGAATTCAAGATCAGCCTGAGCTATATATATAGTAAGACCCTGTCTCAGAAACAAACAAAAAATAAAGAAGTGATAGTTTGTTGTATTAACATGTCTAGACAATAGTAATATCTAAGGATTCTTAGAATTGTCCTGCATTTTAGAAAAAGTTGAATATTTTTATTATTTGTCTTTAAAATAACCCTACAAGGGAAGGAAAATAGATATTATATTTTATCTGAATAAATAAGTTCTGTCATGATAGTAATTCTAGGACTATTTTTAAGTCTGACAAGCATCAAATAATTGTAGTTTTATATTTAAGCTTCACATAAATTCATTCATAAATACTTCTACCTTTGATTTTTTTAAACGTCCATTTTTTGTTTTCTTAACCTAATTAGGATGATTTTGACTTTGAAACTAAAATGGAAGAACAGAAAAAAAATCCTGGAGCTTCTAAAATTGGAGGTAAGAAAAAGTCTACAAAAACATAGATTAACTACCAGTTCAGTTTTGTACCATTTTAACTTTTGTTTCCCCCTACAGAACCAAATTTCATTATTGAGGAAGATGAAATTATGAGGTGTAAAGAAAGTCCAAATTTTTCAACTTCTCATTTTCAGGTATAAACTTAATACCTCGATCTGACTTTGAACTTTTTTCTATGATTATTTAGTTTTTGGATTTTTTATTCTAGATCTTTCAGAATAAAATTAAGTATTTGGAATGTTTATTATCAACAAAACTGGCCGCTATATTTAGAAAAATTTTGAGCATATTATTGCAAATTTGTTTAATGATAACCTAAATACTATTCCTAGAATCTCAGAATTTTCGGGCTTAGTAGAATCTTACACAATTACTTACTCCACCCTGCTTCATATTTACAAATGTGGTTTATAATACATTTTTGTTGCCATGGAAGCGAATATTGTTTTGTTTTACATGTACAACACAATAAAATTATTGAAATAAGAGAGTGTAAACTTGGAAACAATAAATTGCTGATTGATTGACCACATTCCTCTGCCTGCCCCTTTCTCACATGGGAGTAAGCTGATGTTTGTATCTTTTTTTTTTCTAATCCATTTTATTTCAAGGAGAAAAAGAAGAAAAATAAAACTAAAAATTTCAAAACATGTCAATCAGGGAGCGACAGCAGTACTTACATTGCGCGTTGTCGTCCACAAATCATTTTCCCAGAGCACAAGACATCTGCATTCAGTTGTCCGAACAATACCAGCACAAACCTTTCTCTTCAGTGAACTGGGAGAAATCAGTAGTATAACTATCTTAACTTTTTTATGTACATATACATATACATACACATTGTATCTTCTAGAAGGGTAATTCCTAGTGATCATTTGTGTCTCAGTTCAGTGAGTAGTCAGCTGTGTACAGTGTCAGTTTTGGTGTCTTTACTTTTGTGCTTTTTTGTGACAATATGAAAACCAACTCAAAATTACTGGTTTTTATTAACTTAATATAAGAAGATCCTAAATTTTGTGTGATTTAATTTTTTGTGTGTTTTGAGACAGGATCTTGCTATGTAGCTCAGGCTGGTCCATTACATAGCCTAGGCTGGCCTTGAACTCATAGTGATCCTCCTGCCTCAGCCTTCTGAATGCTAAGATTACAGGGATGTCCCATCACACCCAGCTGTGTGATTTAATTTTAAACCCCATTTGTTACATTGTGGGAAAGTGTTACTATATGGTTTTATATATCTTTCCTAGGTTGAACAGTTAGTCAATAAAACATCTGAACTTGATGTATCTGAAAGCAAAACACGAAGTGGAAAAATTTTTCAGAATAAAATGGTAAATATCGCTTAGGTTTGTTTTCCATTATAACTTTATAATTACGTTCTGTATTGAGTTTATTTTAGTACTTCACTTATTGAACTAATAATTAAGTCCTATTACATATTAGGTACTTTACTAGGTGCTGAGGATATAATCTTTTAACACGTAGCTCTTGATCTTGACTAAAAGTTTGGTAACCAAAAGTGAACAAGCAGTTAATCAACAATTTATTTAAAAAGCTTTTGTGCCAGCTGTGGTGGCACACACCTGTAATCCCAGGACTTGTGAGGCTTAGGCAGGGGGATTGCTGCAAATTTGAGAACTACAAAGTGAGCTCAAGGCTAGCCTGAACTACATAGTGAGACCCTGTCTCAAAAAGACAAAAAAGTTTTTGCACAGCAAAAGAAATAATCAACAGAGTGAAGAGAGCACCCACAGAGTAGGAAAAAATTTTTTCTAGCTGTTCCTCAGAGGAATCGTATCTATAATACATTAAAGAACTCAAAACAGTTAGACCCAATCCAAAAATGGATATCTGGGATAAATACTTCTCAGATGAAGCACAGCAAATAAATACATGAAAAAATGTTCAATCTTAGTAGTCATTCAAGGAATTAAAATAATGCTGAGATTCCTTCTTACCCTAGAAAGAATGACTTATCAAGGAGTCAATCAATAACAAATGCTGGAGGGGCTTTGGAGAAAAAGGAATCTTTCTCCACTGTTGATGGGAGTGTGGACTGGTATAACCACTGTGGAAATCATTGTGGAGATTCCTTTAAAATATAGGGCTAGAAGTCCCATTTGATCCAGCTACCCCTTCTGGGTATCTTCTGGAAAGAATTAAAGGCACCACACCACAGTGATATATGCAAACTCATGTTTATAGTGGCACAGTTTGTAATAACTAAATCTTGGAAACAAACAGATGCCCATCAACTGATGAATGGATTTTTTTAAATGTGGTTTTTAATACAGTGAAGTACTTTTCAGCCATTTTTAAAGAGTGATAAATTTGAGCCACTTCTAGCTAAATGGATAGACCTTGAGAATCATACTCTGAAGTGATATAAATTGGGCACACATGTAAATATTGCATTATCTCTTTGCTGTAAGAAAATAAAAGTGTAAAATTTTTTAAAGAAAAAATGTATAATACAAATTGTGAAATATGAAGAAATTGTTCAAAAGGGAAGGGGAACTGTGGGGGAGGGAGGAAAGAAAAAAAGTATAAAATGGAAACAAAACTTTGTAAATGAGGGGAAGGGGGTTTGAAGGGAGGGGAAGGGAATGGGAAAAGAAGCAATCAAGATAAATCAACACAGGTACAAATTCCCTATGATGATTATGATCATTATGTCTAAAATGTTCCAGTAACCTTTTAAAAAGCAGTGACATGGCACAAATTAAAGAATAATTTAGTGGATGTGTATTAGAGGAGTGCACAAAAAGCTTTGAGAAGAGAGAATATTTATAGATTCTTGAACACATTTCCTAGAATAACAGAATATTGTCTTCTTGATTATTTTAATAAGACATTACAAATTAATTTTTTTTGTCTTTTTCCTTTTTATTGGTACCAGGGATCAAACTCACTACTGCCTGCCTGCAAGGCAGGCACCTATGCCACTGAGCTAAATCCCCAGCCCCACAAATTAATTTTTTATATATATCATGCATAAAGTGAATTTCATGTTCTTAAGTAAAAATTACATTAGTTTTTGATATTATACTACATAGAAATTCATGTTTTAGACTTTTTAAGTTCTCTTAAAGGTTCAGGGGTGAATAAACAGCATTAAGAAACCAGTATCTCACTCTGTCAGTGATATACTAAAACATTTCTTTCCAAATCTTCATTCAATAACATCATGTTGATAGGTTGAAATTGGACATGGTACTCACAAGACAGAAATCAACAAATGCTTTGGGGTATGTTTCTCTCACAGAACTGGTTGTGAAACATTTATCAGAATGCTGCTTATTATAATGCCATTTTTGGTCTTTTTCTCCTTACAATCTCTGGGTAGTTCGAACTGGCAGAAAGTAGCATTTAGATTAGTATAATAGTAAAAGCAAGTAGTAAATAAACATAAAGAATTACTGTTTCTAACAGTAAAAAGTTCTTTTTAGCTAGCTTCCAATAGGGCGAGTTTTCTTTACTGGGATATAGGGAAAAGCAAACATCTTAATAATTAGGAAAATTTCCTTGTAACGTTAAGATGCTTTAGCGTTGTTATAATAATACAACCTCACTACTTGAGAGGCTAGGTGTATAGATCACAAATTGAAGATCAATCTGGACAATTTAGCAAGATTCTATCTCAAAATTAAGAAAAAAGTGCTAGAGATAGAGCTAACTGTGATGCTCTAGATTCAATCCCCAATACTGGCAAGAAAAAAAAGATTTAAAAAGTGCTTTGGGGACACAGATTTATTTCTGAAATTTCACCTTTTGCATATGAACCCTCAGCCAGAGTACTCTTGGTTTTGTGAATTATGAATGAGGGGCTGGGGATTTAGCTCAGCGGCATAAGCGCCTGCCTTGGAAGCAGGCAGTCGTGAGTTCGATCCCCGGTACCGATAAAAAGGAAAAAGACAGAAAAAAAGAGCTCAGTGAATTATGAATGAGCTATGGCTAGGAAAGGTCAAGAATGAAAATATTCAGGTCGGGCATGGTGGCACACGCCTGTAATCCCAGCACTGGGAAGGCTGAAATAGGAGAACTGCTGGAAGTTGCAGGCCAATCTGGGCTATAAAGTGAGTTCAAGACAGCCTGATCTCTATAATAAAACCCTGTCTAGAAGGATGGAAGGAAAGAAGAAAAGAAGGGAGGGAGGGAAGGGAAGGGAAGAAAGAGAGAGATAGGGAGGGAAGGAAGGAAAGAAGGAAAGAAAAAGGAAAAAAAAAGATGGAAAGGAAGAAAAGAAAAGGGAAGGAAAAAAGGAGAGTAATATATTTACTAAGGAAGTTGTTGGAAAGGATATTTCAAGTGTAGGACATACAGTATCGCCTTTTAGAGAATAGTAATATACTAACAATAATTTGCCTCCTAATCTTCATTTTAATAATCACATAGACATTACTCATAATAGTCAAAAGGTAGGAAAATTGAAATGTCCATCAGTAGATGAATGGATAAACAAATTGCAGATATCCGCACAGATGGTCAGCCATAAGTGAATTATTCTTGCAGTAAAACTGGATGAACCTTGGAAATATGCTAATTGAAAGAAGCTAGTCACAAAACTCCACATATCATATGATTCCACCCATGTAAAGCTCAGAATTGGAAAGGCCATTGAGGAAAACTTAGGGATGGTGAGAGAATTGCTAAAGGATACAGAGCTTCTTTCTGGGGCAGTGAAAATGTTCTAAGATTGACAGGCGATAAGTTGTACGACTCTGAATATAATTAAAATCATTGAATTGTATACTTCTAAATAGGTAAATCATATAGGATTCAAATTATATCACAGTAAAGATTTTTTAAAAACCTACATGTAGATGTATAAGGTTGAAAAATCAACTGTTGACTGTTCTTTAAGAAATAATCAACTAATTATTCTCTCTTTGTGGAGACACATGGAAACCAGCCAGTTAAATCTTCTAAAGAATCTCGGAAGAGAACTCAACCTGCATCTGAGAAAACAGTAAGTTATATAATAATGTAGTTGAGTAAAATGACAAGTCTCATAATATAGTTGTAGATTATAAAAAATTTGATCATATCTGAGTGTACCTCAGAACTGTAATACTCAAATCTTATTCAGATATATTTTGCTCTTGAAAGAGTTGACTTTGAAATAAAATTAAATGTTTATTAATTTTTCTCTATAAACAAATACTTGTCTCATTCCATGAACAATTTAGTTATTAGAGAAATTTATAAAAGAAAAAATCCAGTGTCAGGAAAAATATCGGTAGAATGTGAAAACATTACAAGAATATTCAGGGTACTTTATTTGTATGGAATTAAAATTGAGCCCAAAATTAATATGAGTTTTCTAGAAAACAAAGTAGAACCAAAAAAAAGCTTTGTGTTTGTTAAAAATAGCATCTCCTCCTGGTATTTTAGGAGAGTGCTAACTTTTCCTGACCTAACTTGTATGGTTGTTTTATATTTGGAACTCTTTATCAAATCAGATAATATATTTTTGAGATACTTACATTGCTCAACTAGAATTATATTACTTTAAGATAGGGGAACTGAAAACTATATACCATTTTCAAAAATCGAGTATTAAAATGGTGATCTCAAATATGTAGTTGGAACTGGGCATGGAGGCACATGTCTGTGATCTTAGCACTCGAAAGGCTAAAGCAGGAGGATCAACAGAGTTTGAGGGCAGCCTGGGCTACATAGTGAGTTCAAGGCCAACCTAAATTATACAGTGAGACCCTGTCCAAAAAAAAAAATTTTTTGTTACATTAAAGCTGGGCCACACACAACTGTAATCCCAGCACTTGGGAGGCTAAGTTAGGAAGATCACCAAGAGTTTGAAGCCAGCCCGGCCTACATAGTCAGTTTAAGGCTAGTGTAGACTACATAGTGAGATCCTCATCTCAAATAAAATTTTATTACAGTAAAAGACACATTGTCATTAATTCCTCAAAATACTGCCCTTTATTTGAAATACACTTCTTATGTCATTTTTGACACCTTAGGAAACAGTTGTAGAAGCCTTCTTTTCTGAGTGTCTTTACAAGGTGTGATAGAGCCAGATTTAGCTCAGTGTCATAAGTGCCTGACTGGCAAGTGCAAGGTCGTGAGTTTGATCCCCAGTACTTAAAAAAAAAAGTCATGGTTATACAAGGTGTGATAAAAATTACAGTGAATGCTGCTCCTGGGTCCCATCTGACAGAAAAATCTTGCTTGTAAAAATGTTATCCACCTTCTTCATCAAATCTGGTACCATCTGACTTCTGGATATTCCTTAAAGTCAAAATGACTGTGAAAGATAAACATCTTGAATCAATTCAGAATGTTGAGGCATCTACAGCAGCACAGCTAAAGACATTTCTGAAAGAGAACTTCCAGAACTGTGTCATAAAATGGGAAGAATCATGGGACAAGGGGGTGTAAAAGGAAGGAAGTATTTTTTGAGAGGGATTAATGACAGTGATTTTGTACTATAATAAGTTTTTCTAAAACTTTATGCCATCATATTTCCTATATTTTTAACAGCTATCAAAAGATGTACATTTCAATAATAATGTTTTATCCTTACTTTTAAAGAATTTAAGTGTCCTGTCTTAATAGGAAATAGTTACACTTTTATAATTTTTAAAACCAGAAAGAAACCTTAGAAAATTTTTAAAAGGTGCAAAATAAAAGGTAAATTCACAAGAACCTGTTCTTAGTAACTGTTTTCTTTTACCAGGTCTTCCATCACTTCGATTTTTCTAGTCAAGAGTCTGTGCCAAAAAGGAGAAAATTCAGTGAACCAAAAGAACCTATGTGAAATTACTTTTTCTTCTGCATATTTGGAAAATTCTCATTGGTTAAAGTAAATGCTCTATTACTATTTTAAGGTGTGTTCTTCTGTAGCTCTGAAAATTTATATGCAGTTTTAAGCAGTTTATACATTAAAATGAAGTTTTCGACCATTATATTGTGGTCCTTAATTTTATCTAAGATAAATCCAAGAGAATTTTGAGACAAAACCAAAAGCATAAATGTAGTAATTGATGTTGTTCAATTTCTATTCCATATCCATCTATTTTCCATTTTCGTGGACAGTTTCTTTACGTATGTATTAAGACCCTATAATACAAACCACTTTTTGAAATAATGTTTATTTTGATATTAAAACTTTGTAGGATTCATTTTTTTCTTTTGTTAAAACTGTATTATGTAACTAGCTGTCACTGTGTTATTAAGACAATGTTCTTTCAATATATTGATCTATTGTATTAACATATATAATGTACAATTTAAAAATTGGTACCTATCTTTTTTAAACTTTTTTTACTACAGGACAAAAAAGATGACTAGTTTTTTAAAGACAAAATAAAATGTTCAGTTTGGAGGTTTTCATGGCTTCTAATTTTTATTTAATTAGCAGAAAGTTTTTAAGTGTGCTTTTGAGTTTTGGTTTTTGTGGGAGGTTTTTGGTTTTTTGAGACAGGATCTCACTATATAGTTCAGACTGACCTTGAACTCACTGTGTAGCCCAAGCTGGCCATGAACCTGTGGCAATCTTCCTGCCCAGTATCCTGTGTGGTGGTACTGCAGAAGCTCGCCATCACACCTATTTAGATATGAATTTTGCCCACTTGAGAAGTCCAAGCCCGCTTAGTCTGACAATTTAATAACTTGGTGAGACACTGTCTCAAATTTTGTAAGTATAAAATAAAAGGAGGAGGGCACAGGTTGGGGATGTATCTCAGTGTAAAGGTGTGGGTTCAATCCTCGGTACAAAAAAAAAAAAAAAGGAATGCTTTGATGTGGGAGTGTGAAAGAGACAGCATTTTTAATGATAAACGTAGGACCTAGGGCATGCCAGCCTATTTCCTTTTTCCTTTGCTTTAGAAAAAGGCTTAAAACTACTTCTATTTGCCTATAGTAGTTTCAGCAGCCATACCCCATTTACATTAGCCATGTGCTTATCAGTAACAAGCACTACCTAGGAAATGATGGTCTGTATTCGACGGTAAAGACGTACCTATGCTGTTCAATGTAAACCAAGTAAATGTCCACAAACTGGCTCAGATCAGGTTTTTCTGAAACCGATTAAACTGGCTGTCAGAAACAACCAACTTTAAAATGTTAAGTCTTATCTTGAATCCCAACACTTCTTACCATGTTTCTCCAGTACATACTGCTACAGTACACACTTGCTACTGTGTGAAATTGATCAACAGAAGCCTTAAGCCTTTGGCTCACTGGACACTTAGAAAGGCCAATTTAATGGGGGTGGAGAGCACAGCCCACTTTTCTCTCTTCCACTAAGGCTCTCTTATTGGATTGATCAGCTGTCATGTTAAACCTAAACCTGCCTCTTTGGTGATGTTTGTCTGGATCGCAACACAATAGCTGGAGGAAGAGCCTCCCCTTATAACCTCCGATTGGCTGAACTCAGTCTTAGTCGTTTTTGATTGGTCCTAAGAAGAAACACCAAGGTAGGTTGCCTAGTGATCCTAAGGAAGCTGATGTGTTATTCCTCTTGCAATCTAAGGATCAGGAAGTTTGTGCTCTATTCGTGGCTGAGAAGTTTTTCACCTAATCGGACAGGGTGAGGTGGAAGGAACAGGTGTCCTTCTAAAATAGAGCGCAAGCTGCAGCCTGCCTCCAGCCATAACCCAGGAGTGAGCTCAGGTAAGCAACGGGAAAATTAGATTTCCTAATGTCAAAAAGGAAAAAACACTTTTTTAATTGAGAAAAGTCGGGTTTTATTTACTAATTCTTAGCCATTTGCTTTATCAAATAGAAATTTTAATTGGAAGATATCCAGAGGAAGATAATTCCTGAAAGAAAAATTTTTATTCCCCCCGCCCCAAAGGTTTAAAGTTTCTTGGACTGGGTTAGTAAATAATCCCAATTCAGTGCCACATAGGGTAGTGTCCTAAAGCATTAATTTTGTAGTTCTGTTCCTCCTTCATTTTTCTTGCCTCTCACCAAAAATTATACTGTATTTGAAATAAAACACTGTATTTGAAATAAAGACACTTCATTTGTATTTGTTAAATATTCACATGCATTTCTGAGTATTCATTTTAATCTATGTATTAAGCAATTACAGCATTAAAGGCATTATGCTAGTTACTATGGGGGATATAAAACCCAAGGAGACAATACTTTTGCCCACAAAGAAATTTATAGTTGAGAGACAGCTATAGCAAAAGAGAGACTGTAATAAATACTTTCAAGGAAGTAAGTATAAAGTTTTGGGAAGGTACAGCTAAAGGAGAAACTAATTCTGGCCATAGGGCAAACAGGTGATGGGTCTTTGGTAGATTATATATATATATATATATATATATATATATATATATATATATATATCTTTGAAGAAAAGTGAAATTTAGACAAGAAGGTAAAAGGTGGATAACCCTTATCAAATGGAAAGAAGCAGTGGCAGAAAGAAAAGACATGTTTAAAAAAATAATATCAGTACATATTGGGAGTAATGGAAAATATTGTTAGAAGACAGAACCAGGTTTAGTCGGAGAATCACTTAAGGTACTTGATTACTTAAGGTACTTGATCACTTAAGGTACTTGATCACTTAAGGGCCTTGATTTCAAAGGTAGTCTTTTACATAATTACTGATTTATATTTGTTGTATGTTTTTAAAATGGACATCTGGATTTGTATAAAATGTGCTAACTTTAAACTTTATCACCAATTATTTAGAACTTTTAAACAACTGTGGTCCACAATATAAAATCGTGTTTTGATTTTTTTTCTTTTTCTTTCAATGCTTGAGATGTGCCCCAGGCCTTTCACATACTCAGCATATACTCTATTACTGAGCTATACTCCCAGCCTTTTTTTTTTTTTTGTCTTTTTCATTTTTACCAGTACCGGGGATTGAACTCACGACTGCCTGCATGCAAGGCAGGAACACTTATGCCGCTGAGCTAAATCCACAGCCCCTCCCAGCCTTTTTTTAATTGAGAAAGAATTTGCTAATCTTTTAACATCTTGCTAGTTTTTTTTGTTGGCAGCTATTTGTATATTCACAAGATGACTAGCCAGGGTGAGAGATGCTAAGTATACTATACAGGATTACTAAGTTTTCTTAGTGTTATTCTATAGGATAGTGATCTCCAATACGAGCAGCCCCTAAGTATGGGAAGAAAATAATAAAACGTGTATTTCTGTTTAGTTTTTCTTGTTCTTTTTTATCTTCTATATTTTGTGTATTTTAAATTTTTATTTTTTATAGTGTTAGGGATTGAACTCAGGGCTTTGTGCTCACTGGCAAACAGTACTTCACCTCTTTGTGTGTCTCATAATGTAATATCATTGAATATTATGGAATTTACATGTTGTACACATTGTGTCCCCATAGTTTTTCGCTGTTTCATCTTACATAACTTGGCAGTCCATTTTGTGAAACAGAAGTAACAACAGAGGACATTTATTCCTCCATTATAGATTATATGCAAGAAATCACCATTCTTAAAAGATGATCGTTTCTACTGGTTGTTAAAATTACTGATTTTGGTCGCTTGTCATTGCCATTTGTGGTGTTTCACTGTTGTACTTGAGAATGATACTAGTCATTAATGATTTATTTTGGTACTAGAGACCAACTCTAGGAATTTGTGTATATTAGGCAAGTACTCTACCACTGAGCTATATATCCCCACCCCCCTGGTTATCAGTTCTTCCTTAATATATTTAAGTTTGTAAATACTTCCTCTTCTGTATTTACGTAAGCACATATAAGTATATTTTTTTTAACACTTCCTTCAGAAACAGGTGAGAATGACCACATTAACTCACCGGACCCGGCGCACAGAACTAAGCAAGAATTCTGAAAAGAAGGTAGAAAGTGAGGAAAACACTAATCAAGAGAGGAGTCTAGATAATGAAGATTCTGGAGACTCAAAGGACATCCGCCTCACTCTTATGGAAGAAGTATTGCTTCTGGGACTAAAAGATAAAGAGGTAACGCAGTTAGGTTTGCTAGGCTGTCTCAAAAACCCAAATATTGGAATGTTTTGAACATAATCTGATGGAATATTTTTGTAATGCTAAAGTGACTTTATTTATTTTGTCTTTCTGAGACAGAGTTTCACTATGCAGTTCAGGCTGGCCTGAAACTCACAGTAATCCTCCTGCCTCAGCCTCTTAAAGGCTGGAATTACAGGCGTGTGCCACCACACCTGGCCTAACATGAGGCCATTTTGGGGAAGAATCTGGGAGGGTAGCTGATACTCGGGAGAGTACAATCAAGAAGTATAATTACTTGAAGCATAATGTAATTGCAAAATTATACAGGACACAGGAGAGGATAACAGTGTAAAGTTTTGTGTTTGTAGTTTCCCAAGTCAGTTTGATGGTGAAATAATAACCTCTCATTAAAATAAGAAATAGGTCCGATACACTGAAGTCTTTTCAGCTTTGGGATGAAAGTTTTAAAGAAACGACAGGAAGTATATGTGATTAACGGAAGGTTCTCGCCTTAGTAGAAATTATAGCGCTGGTCTAACATGGCCAAAAGGCCAAAGCGGAAACGCGGACCACTTCCTGCTTCTTCCTCAGCCATAATTGCAACTCCCCTTCCTGTTTGTGGGCACAGAAAATTCCAATCAGCTTCCAGCGCGTCATCACTGCCCGCCCTAAGCACCACTCGGGTGGGAAATTTTATATATATATTTCCCTACCCCACGTTCTGGCAGAGAAAGCCAGGCCGCCAGCGTCCATGGAGTTCTCTCCATGTCTTTGGAGTAAAAGCTATTTTTACTTTATATTCTGTCTTTTATCATGCGGAAAACTTTCAGTTAACTATCTTCCAGAAATAAATGATGTAGATTTCTTGTAACAGAAGTAACTGCTTTATTGTCTTCTGTGGATCTTTAGAAACTAAATATTAATACTTGGTGGGGATTATTTCAATTTTAGAAAAAAATTGAGGATGTTTACTGGGAATAAAACTCAGAGCCACATGCTTGTAAGACTGGCACTGTGCCACTGAGCTACATCCCTGGCAAGGGTATCAAGACTCGTTTGTCAGGTTTTTTTTTGTTAAGAAAACAAAAAGCTTATTTGTTTTGTTCTTTATTATACTAGTGATATAACTCAAAGAATTATTTACTGTTGAATAAAAGGAAATAACTTGGGAGAACAAAGTCCTCTTTTAACAGTAGGAAAATACAGTTTAAAATATTTGAGATCCTCCTTTGTTCACCCAACTCTCTAATTTACATTGTTTGAAAATTTGGGCTTCCTCTTACTTAGATTTGAGTTTTGTTTGTAACCACTGAACCCAGCACTCAATAGGCTGAGGCAGGCCTGATTACTAGTCAACTGACTAGTAACTGACTGATGTCAGTTTAAGATATAACATAGCAAGATCTTG